TGTGCGGGCTTGCGCAACTCAGTTTGTCAAAAACATTGGGGTGTTCGATTCCCCCCGGGTGCGCTTTCGCATCCTTAGCAGTTCCAGTGGCACATCGCCAGCATCACCTACATCATCCGCATCAGCGCCTGCCAAGGATGCGGATGATGCAGGTGATGCTGGGGATGTTGCCCAAAGGGGGGAAAGGGGAAAGGATCTTAATAGCGAAAGGGGGGGAAAGATCTCAGGGAGGAAAGGGAGAAAATCTGCGGAAAAAATGCCTTAAGGGGGAAAGGGGGGAAAACATCTTTGGGAGGAAAATGGAAATCTTTCTCGGGGGAACAGGCCCTAAGGGGCAATGGAGGGACAGGATCTCAAACGGGAAAGATCTCACAAAGGAAAGGGAGAAGATCTGGGGAAAAACTGCCTTAAGGGTGTTGAGATCCTTTCCCCCCTTCCCTTTAAGGCCTCTCCAGATCTTCTCCCTTTTCCTTCCTAAGATTGTTTCCCGCCTTTCCTTGTTGAGATCCTTCCCACCCTTTCCCCCCTCAGGCCTTTCCCCCCCCCTGAGAGCTTCTCCCTTTTTCTTTCCTTCCTTAGATCTTTCCCCCCTTTCCCTGTTGGCATTTTTCTCTCAGATCTTCTCCCTTTCCTCCCTAAGATCTTTTCCACCCCTTTCCCTGTTGAGATCCTTTCTCCCCTTTCCCCTCTATGGTCATTGCCCCCAGATCTTCTCCCTTTCTTCCCTAAGATCTTTCCCCCCCTTTCCCTGCTCAGATCCTTTCCCCCCTTTCCCCCCTAAGGCCTTTCCCCCTTCTCCCTGTTGAGATCCTTTCCCTCCTTTCCCCCCTAAGGCCTTTTTTCCCCCCGCAATCTTCCCCCTTTTCCTTCCTAAGATCTTTTTCCCCCCTTTCCCTGTTGAGGTCCCCCCTAAGGCCTTTCCCCCCCTGAGATCTTCCCCCTTGTCCTCCCCAAGATCTTTTCCCTTGGTTGAGATCCTTTCCCCCTTTCCCCCCAAGATCTTCTCCCTTTTCCTCCCTAGGATCCTCTCCCACCTTTCCCTGTTGAGCTCCTTTCCCCCTTTTCCCCCTAAGGCCTTTTCAGATCTTCTCCCTTTCCTCCCGAAGATCCTTTGCCCCCTTTCCCTGTTGAGATCCTTTCCCCCTTTCCCCCCTAAGGCCTTTTCCCTGCCTGGGATCTTCTCCCTTTCCTCACTGAGATCTTTCCCCCCCTTTCCCTGTTGAGATCCTTTCCCTCCTTTCCTTCCTAAGGCCTTTCCCCCCGCTGAGATCTTCTCCCTATTCCTCCTTAAGATCCTTTGCCTCCTTTCCCCGTTGAGATCCTTTCCCTTCTTCCCTTTAAGGCCTTGCCAGATCTTTTCCCTTTTCCTTCCTAAGATTGTTTCCCCCCTTTCCCTGTTGGCCTTTTTTCCCCCAGATCTTCTCCCTTTCCTCCGTAAGATCTTTTCCACCCCTTCCCTGTTGAGATCATTTCTCCCCTTCCCCTCTAAGGCCTTTGTCCCCAGATCTTCTCCCTTTCCTCCCTAAGATCTTTCCCCCCCCCCCCTTTCCCTGCTGAGATCCTTTTCCCCCTTTCCCCCCTAAGGCCTTTCCCCCCCCCTGAGAGCTTCTCCCTTTTCCTTCCGAAGATCTTTTCCCACCCTGTTGGCCTTTTTTCCCCCAGATCTTCTCCCTTTCCTCCCTAAGATCTTTCCCCCCCTTTCCCTGCTCAGATCATTTCCCCCCTTTCCCCCCTAAGGCATTCCCCCCCTGAGATCTTCTCCCTTTTCCTCCCTAAGATCTTTTGCCATTTTTCCCTGTTGAGATCCATTCCTCCTTTCCACCCTATTTCTCCCTCTGAGTTTTCCCTTTTCCTCCCTACGATGTTTCCCCCCTCTCCCTGTTGAGATCCTTTCCCTCCTTTCCCCCCTAAGGCCTTTTTTCCCCCCGCGATCTTCCCCCTTTTCCTTCCTAGGATCTTTTCCCACCTTTCCTTGTTGAGATCCTTTCCCGCCCTTTCCCCCCTAAGGCGTTTTCCCCCCCAAGGTCTTCTTCCCCCCCTGAGATCTTCTCCCTTGTCCTCCCCAAGATCTTTTCCCTTGGTTGAGATCCTTTCCCCCTTTCCCCCCGAGATCTTCTCCCTTTTCCTCCCTAGGATCTTCTCCCACCTTTCCCTGTTGAGCTCCTTTCCCCCTTTTCCCCCTAAGGCCTTTTCAGATCTTCTCCCTTTTCCTCCCTAAGATCCTTTGCCCCCTTTCCCTGTTGAGATCCTTTCCCCCTTTCCCCCCTAAGGCCTTTTCCCTGCCTGGGACCTTCTCCCTTTCCTCACTGAGATCTTTCCCCCCCTTTCCCTGTTGAGATCCTTTCCCCCCTTTCCCCCCTACGGCCTTTCCCCCCGCTGAGATCTTCTTCCTATTCCTCCTTAAGATCCTTTGCCCCCTTTCCCTGTTGAGATCCTTTCCCCCCTTCCCTGTAAGGCCTTTCCAGATCTTCTCCCTTTTCCTTCCTAAGATTGTTTCCCCCCTTTCCCTGTTGAGATCCTTCCCACCCTTTCCCCCCTCAGGCCTTTCCCCCCCCTGAGAGCTTCTCCCTTTTCCTTCCTTAGATCTTTCCCCCCTTTCCCTGTTGGCCTTTTTTCCCCCAGATCTTCTCCCTTTCCTCCCTAAGATCTTTTCCACCCCTTTCCCTGTTGAGATCATTTCTCCCCTTTCCCCCCTAAGGCCTTTGTCCCCAGATCTTCTCCCTTTCCTCCCTAAGATCTTCCCCCCCCCCTTTCCCTGCTGAGATCCTTTTCCCCCTTTCCCCCCTAAGGCCTTTCCCCCCCCTGAGAGCTTCTCCCTTTTCCTTCCTAAATCTTTTCCCCCCTTTCCCTGTTGGGCTTTCCCCCCTAAGTCCTTTTCTCCCAGATCTTCTCCCTTTCCTCCCTAAGATCTTCCCCCCCCCCCCTTTCCTCCCTAAGATCTTTCCCACCCTTTCCCTGTTGAGATCCTTTCCCCCCTTTCCCTCCCAAGGCCTTTCCCCCCCTGAAGATCTTTTCCCCCCTTTCCATGTTGGCCTTTTTTCCCCAGATCTTCTCCCTTTCCTCCCTAAGATCTTTTCCACCCCTTTCCCTGTTGAGATCATTTCTCCCCTTTCCCCCCTAAGGCCTTTTTGCCCCAGATCTTCTGCCTTTCCTCCCTAAGATCTTCCCCCCCCCCCCAGCTCCCTGTTGAGATCATTTATTTCCCCCCTTTTCCTTCTAAGGCCTTTTCCCACCCTCAGTTCTTCTCCCTTTTCCTCCCAAAGATCTTTCCCCCCCTTTCCTCCCTAAGTCCTTTTCCCTGAGTTTGTCTCCCTTTGCCTCCCTAAGATCTTTTCCCCCCTTTCCCGCTTAAGATCCTTTCCCCCGTTTCCCCCCTAAGGCCTTTTCCCCCCAAGATCTCCACCCTTCTCTTCCCAAAGTCTTTTTGCCCCTTTCCCGTTTGAGATCCTGTCCCCCCATTGCCCCTTAGGGCCTGTTCCCCCCGAGAAAGATTTCCATTTTCCTCCCAAAGATCTTTTCCCCCCTTTCCCTTAAGGAGGAATATGGAGAAGATCTCAGCGGGGGGAAAGGCCGTAGGGGGGAAAGGGGGGAAAGGATCTCAACAGGGAAAGGGGCGGAAAGATCTCAGGGAGGAAAGGAAAAAGATCCCAGGGAGGAAAAGGCCGTAGGGGGGGAAGTGGGGACAAGGGAGGAAAAGGGAGAAGATCTCAGGGGGGAAAAGGCCTTAGGGGGGAAAGGGGGGAAAGGATCTCAACAGGGAAAGGGGGGGAAAGATCTCAGGGAGGAAAGGAAAAAGATCCCAGGGAGGAAAAGGCCGTAGGGGGGGAAGTGGGGGAAAGGGAGGAAAAGGGAGAAGATCTCAGGGGGGAAAAGGCCTTAGGGGGGAAAGGGGGGAAAGGATCTCAACAGGGAGAGGGGGGAAAACATCTTAGGGAGGAAAAGGGAAACATCAGAGGGAGAAAAGGCCTTAGGGCGGAAAGGGGGAATGGATCTCAACAAAGAAAGGGGGGGCAAAAATCTCAGAGGGGAAGGGGGCAAGGGGACAATTCCAAAGGGACGCAAATAAGAAAGCAGGCCTGTAATGTCGGCGGCCTGAGCCGGAGGCACTAAATTCCGAGTGTCTTCCTCTGGATCTTGACCAAACTCACGTGGTGGGCTGTCAACATTCGGGGCCTCCTTGCGCCCATCCGTTTTGTCACTCTTTCTTGGGTTTTTTTTGTGGGGGGGGAGGGGGGATCCTGGGGGGTCCTGGGGGGGTCCTGGGGGGGGTCCTAGGGGGGTCCTGGGGGGGGGGGGGTTCTCAAAAATGAAGACCAAAAAAGGCACCCCACAAGCACTCGCAAAAAACGAAAACGAGTCCACCGAGTGCCTCGTGCACGCCCACCGCCATCGTGCCAGACATTGCCTCCTCGAGGCACTGGCCCGAGGACTCCAAAAGTTTCAGGTGGCGGCTGTCGGTACCTTCAAGCACTCCCGCATCGACCGAAAGTCACTAGAATGCGAACAGGAAACCTGTCAAATAGAGTCGCATACCCTCAACTTGGGATGTGCAGAAATGAACCCCTTTGTCGCTGGCTCTTGGCGCGAAAGGCGCGCACTTCTTGCGAGCGAAAACTTCGGGTAAGGGGGCCTCTGGTCCCAAATGCGATGTACCCGTCTCCGATGTGTTCGGGTGCAACCCTGCGAAGTATCCAGTTTCAGTGATTCTCACTAGTCCCATGCTTGGAAATCCTTGGATCGAAGTTTGGCATTGAAGAGGAGACCTATACTTTAGGCAGCCCACACATATTTCCGGTCTTGATCAGGAGGTGTCCCTTTAAACCGTTTGGTGAAAAGGGCACGGCACCCCCCCCCAAAAAAAAAAAAACTGTCCACACCACCTGTGTTTCTTTTTCCCCCCCCCAAAAAAAAAAAAGCCTTCCACACGGCCACACAAGGGGGTCGCTTTTGCCGACTTGCTCCAGTTCCCCCCCAAAGCGTCCCCCGCTCGCCCGTTTCTCTCAAGCCGGGGCGCTGGTGATGCCCAGGAACTCCGCCTGCACGGCGTTGCCGCAGGAGCTCTGCTGCGTGAGCACCAGGTCCGTGGCCCCGGAGCCGAACTTGAGGCAGTGGACCTGAGAGACGAGACCCGGACCCGTCAGACCCGTGCCCCGTGAGCGCAAGGCACTTTGTGCCCCGTTTAGGGGCTAAAAGGGAGACCAAAACGAAAGGTCGGCACCTTTTGGCGCTCCCCGAGCTTGAGAAGCCGTGTCATTTGTTAGACCCGCCAAAGGGCCTCGGTGTTCCTTTCGTTTCCTGAAAACGGACAACCCAATCTGAGGGAGGGATCGCCCAGCAAAATCTGGAATGTTCCACGATAAATGATCGGTGATTATTTTTTGTTGTCTTGATGACAGGGCGAGTGCAGGGGCTCTTGTTTGTCTTGACGGAAAAGTGACTCTTGAACACCTCCCGTCTACCATTCTCCGAAGCCTGCTTGTTAAAAGGGGTCCACCCGTGTTACAAGAAGAAACCTCTCGCATGGTCGCTGCAACATGTGTTTGAACAATCAGACCTGTTGCGGCTATTCTTTTCAAGGGAAACCAGACCAGTTTCAGTTTAAACCCAAGCGTTACAACCAATGTTAGGCCCAGTTTGAATTGCATCGGGAGATATGTCGCCTGAGTCTGGGAGTTGTCCAATACCTCCGTGAAGAGCTTGAGCTGCATGCGGTTGAAGAACCACAGCTCCTGCCTCGGTCCGATGGAAGGCTCCGCTCCATGCTTTTGGTGCTGCTTGTGAAAGGGAATCCGAAGGGACACCGCCCATTTAGGGGTTCCCCAATTTTGAGACGCAGACCCTCTTTTGATGACTCGAGTCAAAACCTGGTAAAAGGGTCTGCCGGTTGGGAGGGAGATGCAAGCTTTGGTTGGGCACGCTTGGGACAGGGCGACCCCAGAAACTAGCCGGAGGAGTTGAGAACACCAGCCACAGAGTTGTTTTTCACGCCGCGTGGAATCAAGTTCAGGCCGGTGCATCCCTCAAAGCAAAATTGAATATAATATGCATTCCTGAAGGTCATTCTACATCTTTAGTCTGGGTGAATTATGAAGCTCGTCCATCCACAGTCCGTCGTTCCCCCAATCTGTCTTAGGGTGCAGATCAACCTAGATAGTGTTGCTCCCCTTTGCCCAGAAGAGGACCCCTTCCAATGTTACAAGTTCCGTCCGAACGTGATTTGTCTGTTTTGAAGCTGTGAGCAACCCTGGAGGTTCCGTGCATCAAGCTTCGGGTCCATTTGGAGCACAAAGGACAGCCATGGAGGTCTCAAGCTGGTGACGTGCGTTGCATTTCAATTCACAAAAACGAAAAGAATGTCATACTTCAATAGACCACTAAGCCGTAGTGGCTTCGTGCTGTTGCAAGACATGGGCTACTCGCAAAATAGAGGGACCCCCCAAAAACAAAGCGCTGTTTGCCTGGTTCTCCTTCCAACCAACCCCGAAAAGGGTGGATGGACGAAATCCTGCACCACCTAAGAAACCCTGGAAGGATGATTCCCCTGCAAACACCAACAGATACAATGGTTTCAACTATGGTTTCCAAGTGGTGCGAAACGTACCCCAAGTGAACATCCCAATCCCCACTCAAATAGACAAAATGGGTGGTGTACCTACCCTAAAATGGGATCCCATTGGTTTTGACCCACAGACCCATATGTTGCGTTTTGATTTCGAAGACTTCGCGTCAAGTTGCTCGTTCCTCATCTCGAAGTCCTGCGCTGTTAGCTGTGAGCTGTCAGTCAAACTCCGAAACAGGGGTCCCTATGCTTCCCGGTTTGGTGGTTTTGTATGGGGTCGAAAATAGGGTAACTCCAAAATGAACCCTGGTAAATGGAAACATAGACGATTTAACCGGCGGTCCCTTCGTGATGTCGTTTTGATCCATACCCGTATAGTATTTGTTTGGCCCCATTTTAGGTAAGCTTTCCTTTTTTTGGGCAGATGTCTAAGGAGAATATATACGGAGCCCTAGGCAGATCTTCTTCCCCGCATTGTGGCGGGACAAGGTCACCCAATAGAGTACAAGATAATTGCCGAGTCCTTGACTACGCAGCCTCGGCATATCAACTCTCACCGAATCAACCGTCTCCGCTGCATCACAGCTGTGGTGCTGACCTTTTGTATAGATGGGCTTCAATTGGAGAGTTCCTCAACTGCCTGGTCTTCTCCATAACTGCCAATGCTGAGTGGCCACGGCACAGCCTCTCGGGCCCAGGAATTCCCGCCGTCTGAACATTCACCTCCGCCAAGAATGCTTACAGTATGGCACAAGGGGTCCACTTGCAAGATTGCCGAAACTCCAAAACAAGGGCATACTTTGCAAACGCGGAAGTTGGCGAAGCTAAGCCGGCCAACTGGGCGCATGGTTTCTGGCGTGGCACGCCTGCCCCCGCAATTGCCTGGACAGGGAAATCCTGCCCTGCCAGGCCTTACTAACCTTGTTTCGCAGGACGGTAACCGGAATCCAATACAAGATACTTCGCCGGAACAAAGGGCCATCCTCTCGTCCGCCCCCCTTGAAAATCCACTTTGGTGACTTGCAGAGGGGGCTTCCCGTCTGACAATACTGTCACCATGCAATCTCGCTCGACAGATGGTCTGCAGGCCAGGTTTCTTTGAAAGGACTCGCCACTTTACCGTGTCGCCCTCCCCCGGGCAACACGGGAATTCCCACTATGCACCAGTCGGGCATCCTCGTGCACACGCATTGTCCCATCGTGTTTTCTTTATTCTTTATATATATATATATATATATATATATATATGTGTGTATCAATTATATTTATTATTTCGCGCCCAGAGTATGAGTGTGTCCTGAGTCTCAAGGATACCAGTACACAAGTGGACCTGTGATGGACTCATGTGTCGCCAAACAGCGTGCAGCTTGGATTGAAATAATATGTACGAGTACATAGGCTGCAAATGAACAACAGCCGAACACTGCTTGTTGGGCTTTGGTTGGTTTTGCTGGTCGAATGTTGCTCCTGGATTCTATTGGGGGCTCAATAGATTCTCATTGGGGGGCCAAATCATGAGAATGGGGTATGTACTTGGGAACATGTTTTCGTCATGAATACAGGGGAATGTAGTGTGTAATGTCCCAATGTCCCACTGGAGTACTTGTCCTTAGCGAGAATGAACCTCCCAACTCCGAAGAACCCAGAGCTTGATTGCTTCAGGGGTTCCTATGTGTCCAACGAAGCACCACCCCAAGGAAACAACTCACAATTTGGGCTCTTTGAGAAGGTGAAGATGAAAACCACACAAAAAGAGGGACCCCTGTGCTTCTTCCTTTATGATGGCTTCAAAGTGCCCAACCCCTTTTCAAACATTGGAACGGGCTTGGTACATGATGGATCCAAAGCAAATCTATCACCAAAGGGCTCTCTTCCTAGGCTCGAGAAAAGGCAATTAGGCTCATCAACTGAGAAGTTTAAGCCTTTGGCCTAAATACTTTCTGGTTCCCCCGCCAAACTTTTGGTCCATTTGGACAAACCCACTTCGCATATTCACCGAGCCTTGGTTAGGGACACCTTGAAACCATGGCAAACCATTGTTTTGTTGGCACTCACTGTGGAATCCTCAGAAATCAGGGGTCCTTAGGTGGTGCATTCAACGGATTTCGTCCATCCGCAGGGATTCAATGTTGACCCAGGATTAATAAACCCGTCCCATTATTAGGGGGGTGTTCCCTCCAAAAGTGGTCTGTATCCCCACTAAAAGGAATCGGACACCCCCCGATCAAAACCAACCAGGGGTTGCTTCTAATCCGGGTTAACATTACACCTCCTTGAAACCATGGCAAACCATTCTTGGTACTTACTGGGGAATTCTCAGAAACCCCGGAGTCCTTAGGTGTTCCATGGATTTCGTTCACAGGGATTTACCCCTCGCTCCGCCCGGAACCGACCGGAGGCTCCGACTCCCGACCAGTGAGTCCTTGTAGCCGGTGCTCCCCACCTGCACGCAGGCCTCGCAGGAGAAGGTGCCCAGCTCCGGCTCGTTCCGGTAGTTGAACCACTTCCCGTTCACGCAGTACACGCTGATTCCGTTTCCGTTGGGGTCCTCGTTGGGCACAAAAAGCGGACTTGCTTAGCACAAAGATTTCAAAAACCAGTGCTGACATGCAACCCTTCTATTGGGGGGAATCTAAAGGGTCAAAAACGTCACCGCCTTCTCCTTTTTCGGTGTCAATCAACTTGGAGTTGGGTTGTCGAAAAACGGAGAGTGTCCAAAACAGTCATGGACCAGGAGTGCTCCTCGACCTGAAAAGGAAAGAACCTCCTCCCGTTCCTCGTTTCGAGTTTCTTGCCCGATATGTGTGGACCCCCCATTTGATGTTTGCATTCTGGCATCCTCTTTCCGAGGCCGAAACATGTGTGGAGCCCTTGCAGGCTTTCAAGCAAAGGGCTTTTGTGAGGGAATTCTCCGGAGTCGCTGTTAAAACCGGAAGCTTGCCAAAGTTGCAATCAAATGCGGGAGGGCAAAAATGGAATGTTTGGACCCTTTTTCATTTGTTGAACGAAATATGAATTGCTGCTTGGGGGGGGGAAATCCGGACCGGGGTGGGGGAGGGCGTGTGCAGGTGTCCGCAAATAGCTTGCCTTGCCGTCCTCTATGACTTCTTGTAGGCTCCAGTCTGCTTTGGAATCCCTCTTTGGCTTGTGAGTGAGGCTGGGGAAGTGTTTCTTTTGGGAGAAACATTGGGGGAGGGTGAAAGTGATTCTCCCGAAAGCATTGCGAGGTTCTTCAGGAAAGACCCGGAGCGGAATACACCATCAAGTCTCACTACCAAGTAGCAGTAGCAAGTAACAGAAGCAAGTTGCTTTAGCAAGTAGCACTAGCGAGTGAGTTGCACTAGCAAGATGCACTAGCCAGCAGTAGCAATAGCAAGATAGCACTGGAAAGGTGCACTTGCCAGTAGCACTAGCCAGTAGCACTAGCAAGATAGCAGTAGAGTAGCACTAGCCAGTAGGACTAGCAAGATAGCACTGGCAAATTTGCATTAGCAAGTAGCACTAGCAAGTTGCAGCAGCGAGTTGCACTAGCAAGTTGCAGGGAAGGTTGCAAGAGCAAGTTGCACAGGGAAGATGCAGGAGTGGCTTGTAAAGCAAGCTGCACGATCACGTTACACAAGATTAAGAGGGTGCTTTAGCGAGCTACAGCAGAAGTTACATAAGAGATTGGCACGAGAGGTTTTCTTTGTCTTACACCAAATAAATATATGTTAATATTAGTCGGATTTCGCGCGTGAAGAAGAAAAACAACGTGAAGCTATACACAACTTTGCCACACCTCTTTAAAGGCGGCGGGCCTGCACCAACTTGGCGATCGAAAAGTTGACCCGCTACGGGGATCGGCGTGGTCGATGTCGACAAACTGAAGACTTTGTACGATTCTGCGGATCAACCCTCTGCGGGGATCGGCGTGGTCGATGTCAATACACTGCTCACTCTGGGGATCGGCGCGGTCGCGGTGAAAAAACTGTGGACTTGTTGCGATTTCTGCGGTTTGCGCGCGATCCTCTGCAGGGATCGTGCGGACTGTCATGGGCTTGCAGTGCGTGTTTTGCTTTTCCTGGCTTCGGGCTGGGCCGCAAATTTGTTTCGTTTCTTGGGCGGCTGTCATGCGCACCGTGCCCGAAAGCATTGGATTCTCGGCACGTCCGCGGTTTACGGGCCGAACAAGTTTGCTAGAGCAAATGTCGCAGAAAGTGGTTCCGGTAACTTGCGTAAGAAGTTGCGCTAGCAACTTGCACTAGCAATGTGCAGTAGGGAGTTGCTTTGGGAAGTTGCGTTGGGAAGTTACGTTGGCAAGCGGCACTGGCAAGCAGCCCTAGTAAGTTGTATTAGCAGGATAGATGAAGAAGTTGCAGGAGCAAGTGGCACTAGCGGGTATTGATGCAATGTGACCAACTATCATATATTATTTTGGGGGTGCCTTGGGGGCTGTCGTAAGTTGCAGCACTTCTGCGAATATGACTCCAAGCGAGTCGGACGGTCTGATAGCTTTGCCTACTAGAAGGACTCCTCAGTGCACTTATCCCCTTGCGGTTTCCCTTAAAACAAATCGCCCCACATGACGGGATATGTCGCCCCCAACCTGCCAGTTCCAGCCCATGGCTGCGGAGACAGTTCCCTTCGGACTGCCTTGCAAAACAATGTTTCGAACAGTCCCTCGAAACAAAATCGCTCACAGCCAAAGGGAAACATCGGAACTGGAAGGTCCCATTTTTTGACGACCAATTAGCTGTTTGAAAATTTTAGTGGATAAACCATCCCTGATTGCTTCCTTAGGGATCTGTTTGCTTCACATGAACCGAAGGAACCCCTTTTCTTCACTGATCGAGATTTCCGAACGTGTTGCGGACATGCCGGATTCCGAGAAGTGGCGGTTCCTTACAATCATTTGTCAACTGTCAACTTGCAAAGGGAATGTCCCTCATCCGTGGGATGCAAGCAACACCCTAAGCGCCCTGGCGCGGAAATGGGGGGGAGGTAAGCTACTGTGGATGGACGAAATCCATTTCGCACCACCTAAGAACCCCTGGAATGATGATTCCCTTGTAAACACCAACAAACATTCAATGGCATCCTTCCCGTGGTGACTCATTTTGTGGTGCGATTTCTGGATTTTGCAAGGGGGTGGGACATGAGACAAACATCGCGAGCCAGCGTCCTTGTTGACGGGGCTGTATCGCTCATACCAGCAGCTCACGTCCAGGCGGGTGCCGTGCACGAAGCCTCGACTCCAAATTTGGAGAGGCGAGAGGCGAGAGGCGAGAGCCTGATTGGACTCAGAGTGCACAGGGGATTCCTTGGGATCCTTGGGGCTTGGAGGATTTGTTGGGGGTTCTTCGTGGGTTCTTCCTAGAAGTGAACCATCAGGGTTCCGAAAACCACATCAGTCCCCAAGCCCGCGGAATGCCCATGGCCTGAATCAAATTTGATGCAGTCTCACCCAAAAGCTGGGTTTTGCTTTGCGACCAACCGAAAAAGGGTAACCTCACCCCCTCACATTGACTGGAGTTTGTGGGTCCATGGCAATGTTGGTGGTTGGCACAGCAGCAAACGCACGATGGAACCCACCGAACGAGTTCACAGGAAGCGAAGTAACGCCTGGCGTCCTGGAAAGACCATTGGACCCCCCCCCCGCACCAAAAAAGGAAGAAGTAGAAGAAACATATGCCCACTGGATCAGACCTCGATGCATCTGCGGGACAAGAATCAACTGGTGAAAAAGAAAGAAAAAGAAAAACAACGATGCGACAAGGCAGCTCAAGGAAGCAACAGGCTGGAAACCGAGTGAAATGGCCCGGGAAGCTGCACTTCACAAACGTTCACAAGACCAAACTTTTTGTAAGGACTTCGTCTGGCCTTCCTCTCCCTCGCGCCCTAAAGCAGCCAAACCAGGTGTGTATACTGCTCCACCCCAACACATATCCCTATGAACCTTTACAGTAGCTCATGCGCACAGACAGACCAATCAAAAAATGTGCCACTCTCCCCTCTCCCTCTCTCTGCCTCCTATTACACCCAACACCCCCCCCAACAAAAATTGGCCTTTCAGCTTTCGGGGACTGCATCACAAGTCGACAAAACTTTGCACTCTTACCCTGTCTGTGAAATCCAAAGTGGCATTCCACCCCTTGAGTTCTATCTCAGAATCCCTTGGCCTCCCAGAAAATTTCTGCCTGAATCCCACCCAAAAAATGTTGGGCGTAAAACCTCTCCAAAATCTTGCTCCCTGAATCTCATGTGTCAGCCTCTATGGCATTTTTTAAGGCTTTTTGGGCATGGCAAAGCCACGCAAAAGCCTGAAGTCTCCTCAGCCCCTTTCTTCCCCCATGTTCCGCCCAAGTCGTAAACCGAGTCGCTCTCGGGCAAAGGCCGCTTGTGGAGCCAGGTGTGGGAGGTGATGGGGCGGTAGGTGGGCTTGGCACATGTCTCAACGCCCCCGCCGCCCAGCAACAAGGCCTCGTCACACTGCTGGTGCAGCTTCCAGTACGAGTAGGAGTAGCTCCTCACCCGGACCCCGTTCTCGTTTTTACTCCCATTTGCTCTGTTGTTTCTAAGAAAACGATCCGATCGCTCAAAAGGAAAACCGGGGTTTCCCTTTTGGCAAAAAGTCATCACCAGGAACTCAAAGGGCTCATGGATATAGAGAACCAGTCACAGCCCGCAGTGACTGGCCTGCTTTAACACGAGTCGCGATGGGTTCCGGCAGCTCCGGGCTCCTTGTCAAAGGGATTTGAAGCCTCAAACACCGGCGGTTTCCCTTTGGTTGGCTGTTTGTTTCAACCACCCCAAAAACTGGATCACAGCGTTGGAACTCTCAAGTCAAAAAGAGGGGAGCCAATGGGTCGCTAAACCATGAAAATTCCTACCAGCCAATGGTTTCTGTCAGAGCTTGTTCGTCCTCGCGGCAAAACCAAACAAACAAACAAACAAACAAACAAACAAACAGACAGACAGACAGACAGACAAACAAACAAACAAATAAAAAAAGGAACCTGAAAAGGCAATCTGTGACAAATACCCTGTTTGTGGACAAATGTCGCTCCAATGGGAAGTGTTGCATGGCCCTCCGAACCGAACCAAGGCAGAACCAATGGTCAGTAAGAGACTGAGGGATTTGATCCATGGCGATCGCTGGTGAAATGTAGTAGCAAAAACAGGCATGTGTCTGGCATTTGAGGGCACCCCACTGGACGTGCTTTTCCGACCGCCGACGGGCAAGGAAGCAAGGAAGCAAGCAAGCAAGCAAGCAAGCAAGCAAGAAAGCAAGCAGGCAGGCAGGCAGGCAGGCAACAAGCAGGCAAGCAGTTCCAGCAGACCTCGCAGTACCCCGTCCAACATGGCCAACGTTATATGCCATGGCACTCATTTCAAGAGATATCCGCAATGGACCGTTCATGTCTGCGTCAGTACTTAGATTTTCAAAAAAAAAAAAGGAGTGGGGGGGGCTGTTTCGGGGCTTTGGCCGCGGGTCCAGTCGATGCCCGCCAGCCCGCCGCGTCGCAGAGTCGTGGCAAAGCAGGCCTCGGGGTCCGCCACCTTCCGCCGGCGAAGGATTCTGGGGGCCGAGGCGTCTCTCAGCCCACTTAAAGAGAAAAAGACCAAATCGCAGAACTGGAGGAAAAAATAAAGGCGCTGCACCTCCTTCCGCCTTGCCCCCAAAAAAACCAACAAGAAACTCATTGCTCCGAAATCCTCCCCCAAACTCCTCCAAACTCCCCCAAACTCCCCTCCCCATCCCGCAGCCCCTCACCCCTTCCTCTAACCCCCCCCCCAAACCCCAAACCCCCCCCCTTCTCGCCTGACACAGCTGGCTCCTCGGCAGTGCGTGTAGCTTTCCGTCCAGGCCCAGCTCGCGGACCAGGTGGGGGCAGGCGCTGTAGAGCCGGCAGGTGTTGGAGCCCTCGGCTTGCCGCCGCCGCTACCGCTTCCAGGGCGACCGCTTTTTGCGGGTCTGAGTGCTGGGGAATTCGTTGGCTCCCTTAGCAAGCTGTTGGGTTAAAATAACCGAAATGACGCAACTGAACGTCATTGTATTTTGAGTATGAAAATTTGATAGATTTTATACATTCAATTATTACCAGTAGAGCCGGCAAAGCCGGTGGGCGGAAGTTTCCAAAATGTAAAAACTATAGTTCTCTTTCTCTTTCTTTTCTTGACTCCTTTTCTCCGTCATTCTTCCTTTCTTTCTTTCCTTCCTTCCTCCCTTCTTTCCTTCTTTCTATCTGTCTTTTCTTTCTTTCTTTCGTTTGCTTGTCTATCTATCTTTCTCTACCTATCTATACCTAACTACCTATCTATCTATCTCTCGTGTTATCTATCTATCTTCTTATCTATCTATCTATCTATCTCTCTATCTATCCTCTCTATCTATCTCTTTATCTCTCTATCTATATATCTACATATCTCTCTATCTCTATCTATCCATCTCTCTATATCCCTCTATCTCTGTCTCTCTCTTTCTCTATCTGTCTATCTATCTATCTATTTATTTACATCTCTATCTATTTATCGATCTATCTATCTCATTATCTCACGTGTATTTATCCATCTCTCTATCTCTCTATCTATATTTAAAAATTATCTATAGATCTACCTATCTATCCATCTCTCTATCTACCTCTCTATCTCATACGCTCTACCTATCTATCTATCTATCTACCTCTCTATCTATTTATCTAACTATCTATCTGTCTATCTATCTCCATTTATTTCTCTATCTATCAACTTATCTATCTCTCTCTCTATCTCTGTTTCTATATATTTATCTATCTCTCTATCTATCTATCTATCTATCTGTGTGTTTATCGTTTATCTATCTATTTGTTTATCTCTCTATCTATCTATCTCTCTATCTATCTATCTGTCTACCTCTCTATCTATTTATCTATCTACCTCTCTATCTATCTCTCTATCTATTCTTTTTCTTTTTATCTATCTCTCTATCTCTCTCTCTCGCTATCTCTCTCTATCTATCTATCTCTCTTTATCTATGTATCTATTTCTCTATCTCTTTATCTCTCTCTCTCTCTCTCTCTCTCTATTTATCTATCTATCTTGCTCTCTCTTTCTCTCTCTCTCTCTCTCTCTCTCTCTATCTATCTATCTATCTATCTCTTTCTCTATCTCTTTCTATCTATCTCTCTAGCTATTTCTCTATCTGTCTATTGATCTATCTATCTATCCATCTATATCTGCACTTAAAAGTTGCGATTTTCGAGCCCCGGCTGCGAAAGTGGACTTCGCGTACTACTTTCGTACTTAAAAGTTGCGATTTTCGAGCCCCAGCTGCGAAAGTGGACGAAAGAGGACTTCGCGTACTACTTTCGTGCTTAAAAGTTGCGATTTTCGAGCCCCGGCTGCGAAAGTGGACTTCGCGTACTGCTTTCGTACTTAAAAGTTGCGATTTTCGAGCCCGAGCTGCGAAAGTGGAATTCGCGTACTACTTTCTTACTTAAAAGTGGCGATTTTCGAGCCGGCTGCGAAAGTGGACTTCGCGTACTACTTTCGTACTTAAAAGTTGCGATTTTCGAGCCCCGGCTGCGAAAGTGGACTTCGCGTACTATACTTTCGTACTTAAAAGTTGCGATTTTCGAGCCCCGGCTGCGAAAGTGGACTTCGCGTACTACTTTCGTACTTAAAAGTTGCGATTTTCGAGCCCCGGCTGCGAAAGTGGACTTCGCGTACTACTTTCGTACTTTAAAAGTTGCGATTTTCGAGCCCCGGCTGCGAAAGTGGACTTCGCGTACTACTTTCGTACTTAAAAGTTGACCTTGCGAAAGTGCTGCGCGTGCCACGGAATCTTTACTTGACCCTGCGAAAAGGCAGCACCTGCCACGAATTCTGCACTTGACCTTGCGAAAGTGCTGCGCCTGCCATGAATTTTGCACTTGACCTTGCGAAAGTGCTGCACCTGCCACAAAGTCTATACTTGACCTTGCGAAAGTGCTGCGCCTGCCACGCAATTCAACCCTTGGGGAAACTTGACCTTGCAAAAGTGCTGCGCCTGCCACGAAATCTGTACCTCACCTTGCCAAAGTGCTGCGCCTGCCACGCAGTTCAATCCTTGGGGAAACTTCACCTTGCGAAAGTGCTGCGCCTGCCACGAAATCTGTACCTCACCTTGCAAAAGTACTGCGCCTGCCACGGAATTCAAACCTTGCGAAACCTTCGCGTTGCCGTGCCAATGGGCCCGCGCTGCGAACGTGATCCGACAATGGTCCGACAATGGTCCGACCAGGCGCCGCGAACAGGCTAGCTTTCAGTTCTCCGGACATGCAAATTCACGCACAGGGCCACGCTTTTGGCGCACTTCTATTCTCCCACCACACGCGCGCGCATCTTTTCTCGCGCGCTTATTCCTTCTCTTGTCATCTCTCTATGCCAGGGATCTTCTTCCTGACTCGCGAAAATGCACGTGAAATTGATGAGCTCTTCAACTTCCGGGACCCATGCACCAAGGTTGGGATTTTTCTTTTTCAAGGGGGCAGTCTACTCTGTAGGAACATAACCCACACCTCCCTTCTTTCTGTGGGCAGCCATGTGCACGGAGGGGGTTCCCTATTGAAAATCATAACCGTATGAACCCATCTCATGGGGGGAAAAAAAGAACCTTGTGGGAGCCTTTAAGGGGTGCATCTGTGTAGATACACCTAGAGCCCTCATTGCTGACTCACCTGAGATGAGAAATGGACTGACTACAAGATTTGTGCCAAAAGCGGTTCATTCAGCCGCGAAGTGGCCTCAGAAATCTGAGGCCACTGTCCATCAAGGCCAAGGCGCCTTCCCACCGAGGCTTTGTGGAGGAATCACGTGGTGACAACCAACAAACCCTGGGTGTGTGGGGACTGTTTGGTGGGTTTCGTGTGGGGAATCACGTCCACTAACCGCTATTGAGGTGGTTCCCTTATTAAGATTCACAGCCGTATTTAAACAACCTCCTTGTGGTCCCCTCAGGCTCTTGGTTCCTCTTTACAGGTGACACCTCAGCCGCAAGCAAACAAAAAGTGCCTAGTTGACCACTAAACTGGGTCTTAGTCTCGAGGAAGGGTTCGGAAGAAAACCTCGAGCGGTTCTCTGGATCGCTCATGTAGTGGATGAAGCCATTCAATACCTATGTAGACCTAAAACAAGTTGCCCGGTTGCAACCCGGCCTCAACAACCCAACGCGTAGCCGCTATCGAAGTGGAGCTGCGAAAGGCTGGAAGGTAAACGGGTCTGGAAAAAACTAGAAAATGATCCATCCCTTTATCCCCTTGAGGAGCAGTGTCAAGCACGCTGATACGTGATTCTTGCTGGCCCCAAGTCGGATCGAGTCAACCCATTGGAGAAGTCCAAACCTGACGACCCACTGGCCAATAAGATGACTCCGACGCCCACTCCAGCTGTTCGACGAGACAACTCTGGCAAACGGGTGGGTATCTCTTTCTAAGAGGGCCCCTTTTTTGGGGTTGGAAACTCCGAAATCGGTTCCCCTAGCGCCTGCTGGTTGCCCTGCCAGAAGAAATCGCAGGTCACGTCGGCCTGGCGAAGAGGTCCGTAGCAATCCCCAAAATGGCCTGAGCTAAACTAATGGTACAAGTGCTCAGAATCCCAGAAAACAATATCAGGCCTGCTCTGTTCTCCGCTCGCCCAAGCCCGCTGGGGATTCTTGCTGCGAAGGCCCAGATGTTCCTTGCCCAGCAAACTTCCGTCCCTCAAGCCGGCAATTCACGAGTGGCTTCAAACCGCATCGTGGATGACAAAACTGCTTTAGATGGTGAGGAAGGCCCCCCCCTCCAAGCACGCCATGGTCGAAACTCTCCATGTTGGTCTTACAGGGGTTGTGTTTTTCTCTAGTAAGCGGCTCCTGACCGTCCAAAGTAGCTCAAAGGAAGTTGATGTTTCGATGGCATCAATGGATTCTCAGCAAAGAGGGTTTCTGCCCATTAAACCCCGTTCGAAGCCGGTCAACCGATTTCGACAAAACCGTCTGTGCACAGTTCTTGCCTACTAGGTTGCCTGCCTCATGCTTGGACACCTCTAATGGTCTTGTTTGGTAGGTTTGCGGTGAACGGGAAGAGGCCATCCATCCGCTTTGCGAATCCCTGAAAGCCAGCCAGCCCAGTAGGACACCTTTTTGCCATGGACTTGTAGACAACGCTGGAAAAGGAAAGGGTTCCTGGGTTGGTTTTAGACGAGCAAAAAGTGATCCATGGCTGGTAAGTGGTTGGAAATACCACTAAGCAATAGGTCATGGAGGCTTTTGGAAGAGGAAAGCTGTCCGGGACGGTTGGGAAAAGTTCAAAACCTGCATGCCTACCATGGCTTACTTGGGGGTTGCTAAACAATTGGGTGTGTCTCCAAACAGAAACACCCCCAAAATCACTGGTTTCTTTTTGGCATGATCTCCCTTTCATGTGCCCCCCAAGCTTGCCGGTGCTCAGAAGGGAATGAGGGAATGAACCTGGGGATTCCCTCAAAGCAAACCAAAGTTGGGATGGTCTTTTTCCAGGGGTCATTTCATTTGGCTGTGGGTCAAAAATGGTACCCCAAATGGCTTGCCCTGGTAAGTGGAACCAAAGACGAAAACCTGCGGTCCATTTCCTGGTGCTTTAATTCTGACCCATACTCATTTCTCATTCCCTCCCTATCGCAGGGAAGACACCTGAGCCAAGATTTTTTGGAGCCAACGACTTCCCGCGCCTTGCAGTGGGCCTCGCAATCCGAGCGCTCCATGGCCTCCGTGTCCGTCTCAAAGAAGACCCCCGCCTCAGATCCGGGAAGCATCGGATGGGATGAAATCCCCGGAGCTCAGGGGAAAACGGCCGCGTGGAGTGTTGGCCATACAACGTGTCCAAAAGAAAAGTGGAGAAGATCGCGGCAAAGGCTTGGGAGACATAACTTAACGTGCACAAGCATATATCCACCTGTGAAACCCAATGTATATCTATATATATATATACATATATGTAATATATATATATATATATACATATATCCACCCAAAAGGCACTTCTGATCTTACAATGTCAACCAACACGCACGGACGCCTGACCATCCGCGGATGCCCTGAGGCCGACGGCCGCAGGGCACCTGCGGCTCCGGTCCAACAGCCGTTTTTTGGAGGGTACCCGCCTAAAGGGGCGGGTCAAGAGGCACAAATCTGGGGTTCCCCCAAAAATGAGCCAGTGAAAGTTCCCACCCGAAGTTGGCTACCCCAAAATAGTGACTAACATGTGGTGGCTTCCAATTTGGTTCTTACTAACCCATCCCACTGAACTAGCCACAAGCCCATCTGGGCGTCCACAACATATCCACTTTTGGCCTTTTCTTCAATCCGTATCAACAAGCGGTAGAACCACCTACTCCCCATGGTAAACTTGTGTTTATTCAGATGGGGGTGTCCCCGTTTTAGTGGGGATTTGTCACTTTTGGAGGGGAACACCCCCATATTTTCATAAACAGGCATCGCCCCATGGTCCCGACTCGCTCGAGTGAAACGGCCGCGCGGCATCCAGCAGGTACCGCGCCGGGCACACGAACTGGCCCGCCACCAGCTCGAAGGCGGGGGGCACGAACTGGTTCTGGCTCTTCCTCGGCTTGGGACTCGCCGGTGACTCACGGTCTTTTCTTTTTCTTTCTTTCTTTCTTTCTTTCTTTCTTTCTTGTTTTTTTTTGGGGGGGTTATGTTCAGGTTCCGCCCAAAGGGGACTCACGTTTTTGGGGGGGCCAGGTTCCTTCTTGCTCTTGGCTTTTGTCCGTGGTTGAATCTGGGTAAACAGACCTGGCGAAGAGAAACCCCAAACGGGCGTAGGGGGGGGGGGGGGGATTGGAGATCCCCCCCCGTTCACATCCTACTTCACCGGACCAAGATCAGTGACTCATGTGGGTTGAAATGTTGACGGGTCAAAAAACGTCTTCTTACTTGCGTCATAGCCTCCCACAGACTCCTTAAACTCACGAACGCCATTGACTTCCCAGACTAATCAACGGGAAAAGGATCTCCTTTTGGACTGGACGTCCCATCTCAATTTGCAGGAAGAAGCCTTGGGCGCTTTCCAAAGCGGCTGAATTCCGACTGGGCTGAATGCATGAACCCATGAAACAGGGGCCATGTGTTTTCAGTGCGGACAAATGGGCGTGTGACATGACAAAGCCAATTCTCCAAATGCCCAGAGAACGAGTCGCTGTTTGTTTTGCCGCTCGGATGATTGCGACCACGCACTTGATACTAAATCACTTGTGCGGGAACTTCCCGAGTCCACTGAATTTGCGTGCATTTGCGACTTGACCTGGGGATGTGGCCTGGGGATGTAGATGAAGCGGGGATAAAGGAGTTGTCTGATGTAACCATTTCCTAAGAAAAGAACGCATACGTTAGGAGAATCCTCACATATCCCTTCCCACGTATCCGGATCCCTGCTTATTGGCTTCTCCGCAGGCCGCAGGCACATCTACCACGAAGGGATGGCCATAGAGCTGATTCCACACGCCGGTCACGGCGCAGTTCACCCCCAGCGTGTTTTCCAGCGTGCACACCTTGTCCCGCAGCTTCATGCCATCGGGGTTGTGCGCATGCCCGCAGAGGAAGAGAGCGGGGCGGACTTTGCGCAGCAGCTCGTTGACGCAGCGCACCTCGTTTGAGTCCTTGCCGTAGAGGCAGCCCTTCGGGGGTCCGTGCGTGATCAACACATCGGCGCTCAAGGGCTGCAGGTGAGCCGTCTGGTGCCTGAACTCTGCCCCCGATTCCAGCTGGAAGGCGCGATTCCCCGAGAGGATGGCCTGCTCCTGGCCCATCTTCGATGGAAAGGAGACGCCGGAGCCCCAGATCCGCAGTGTGAGCCCGGAGTTGAAGTTGAGCGCTCTAGGCTCCAACTTGGTGTGGAGGTATTGGATCCCGAAGTGCTGGCACAGCTTCTCAGCCTTCGACCCCAGCTGCTCCAGTATGAAGTCATGGTTCCCCCCCACCAGCACCCGGTGCTCGTGTCGCTGACGACTCAGCCACCGGAGCCCCGAGAGCATCTCGGGGCAAGAGGCCTCCAGCCACCCGAGGAGTCCCTCGAAGTCCTCCGAGTCGAGGCTCCGTCGGCACTCCTCCAAGAAGAGCTGCCCCTCCCGGGACCGGGACTCCTCGTAGCTGAGGTCTCCGCAGTGCACCAGCAGATCTCCGGCAGGCAGGTCCAGACTTTGGTGCAGCAGGTGGGTGTCGCTGATGGCCACCAAGCGCACGGTGCCCGGAGCCGGCAATGCCCTGGGGCTGGTCAGCACAGGAGACTCCGGCGCCGAGAACGGCACGTAGACGTAGGAGCTCCAGTCTCCCAATTTCTGGGACAGCTTCCGGTGATAGGTCTCGAAGCCTGCGCGCCGCACTCGGGAGCTGGCATCGAAGGCCACGGCGATGTTGGGCCAGTCGTTCCTAAGGCGGGGCCCTTTTTGGCTGGTGGACCTTTTTGGTTTCTTTCAACCGCAACCCTAAGGAGCCCCCAAGTTTGACAGGCGGGATCTCAGGCCATGATTCTTGGCCTCCTGCGGTCTCTCGAGGCCGGTCACGATCTCGAACCAGACCTCCGGGGCATAGAGCGCCATCTTCGCCAGCAGATCTAAGATGTCCCCCTGCTCCGTCTCGGCTCGAGCTTCGCACGGGGCCGCCTGTGGAGAAGTCTCAGCCATGCGCAAAAAGTGGCGAAGCTTCGCCTCCTTCCTCTCAGCATGCTGGAACTCCGCCTCCAGACCTTCCGCCGCGCCCTTGCCGAAGCGTTCCCGCAGGCAGGCCAAAGCCCGCACGGCCATGGCCGACCAACCGAAATGCGAAAGGAGCCCGCCAACGAGAACCGGTGAACGGAAATCGGCCAAGGTGAGCCATTTGGGCGACCTTCCCACTTCCGATTCCCTGGGCTTTCAGAATGAAACTGCCAAGCCCCCATTTCCCACGGCCATGATTGAAATCCGAGATGGGTCTAGCCGCCAGTTAAAGGTATGTGGGCTCCCGAAAAAACGTTCCCTGAAAAGAGGGTTCTTCAAGGATACAACCCAACAACCGCCAGCTTTGCAAGGAACCGGATCCTCTAAATCAACTGAAAAAGGTGGCCTTTTGTAGTGGCGCCTAGTTGAAGGGACGACACCAGATTGTCCTTATGGGACGTCACAAGGGTAGACATGTTTTGTCCCAGGGGGTCCTCCAAGGGAAACCCAAGCTGTTCACTTTGGGCGGGAAATAGTCCATAGGGCCCAGAAGCAGGGCTCTTTCGTCTCTTCAGGCTGCGAGCCGAACATTTGGCAGCATCCGCAGTGGGGCGCTCAACGGACATCGCAGGAGATCCATAGCAATGCGAGCTACTGCAGAGGATGAGGGTTAGCTGGAGGCTGACCACTTTGACCATAAGTACGGTGGCTGCCCCAAATCTTTCACGTTGTGCTAATTTACCCGGTTTTCCGGGTCGGATGTGCTCAGTTCAATAGTTCACTTGCAACGTCCCAGCTGCGGCACAGTGACCCGGGTATTTACAAAAGGCACCCTTTTTGAAGTCGATACCATTTTTAATGGGTCCCGAATCGACCAAACAACAGCAGCCCCATTTAAATTCATAGCCAAATAGTGCATGGAGTGGCGCGAAGTGGCAAATTCCACCAAGGCAAGCGATGCGACAGCAATGACATAGTATGGGTATGGGTATGTGTCACAACAAAGGTGTTGAATCAAAGGGTCCCTCAGAATCAAAAGGGCAATGCAAAAATCAATCAATGCAAGAATCAATCGTCGGAAGCGACCGGTCCCTTACATTGACAAACACCCAGAACGGAGGCAACCAACATTCGCATCTTTGGGGAAATGAGGCAGATAGCAATTTGCAGAATACCCTCCCAAATGGTGGGTAGGCATAAAATGTCCACAAAAAAAAAAAGGTCCACCATCTCGCATAAAGGTGATACCCAGCCCCAAAAAAGTCCAAGCCCCCCGTGAACCCCATGAACTAGCTTCCCCCTAGTTGGTGGTTTGGAACTTCGGGGGTTGCTTCCCATTCACCCTCGACAAGAAACACTCCAAGCCGCCAATTCAGCAGAGCCTGGCCGAACTTTCCGGTTCTCCGAGAATGAGACATGGAACGACCCCTGATACAATTCATCCCTGATGTGAACTTGGGTCAAAACACCGGTACCCAAATGGCTTGCCCTGGTAAGTGGAACCAAGGACTCAAGAGTTGCGGTCCGATTCCTGGTGGCTTCATTTTGACCCATCCCCGACGTTTCCATTCGGGAATCCCCCAAATCCCCGGCTCCTTCCCCACCGGAACCACCGGAAGCCTCCGCCTCCAAGCCACGAGGGCACCGACTCGAAGCTCTCGGGGTTCACCGGCTTGTTCATGCCCCAGGCCTCCGAAAAAAAGGAGGGAGAAGAAAAGAACGGAAATTACCAGACTTCCCACGGCTGCTGACCCCCGTGCAACAAGTGTCTTCTCCACTGTTTGGCGGGTTTCATGGAAAACCCAATTGATTTCCCAACAAGTTGAAGTCTAAAGATGCAACCCAATAGCGATCAAGGACTTCCGGGATTGCAACTCACTGTGACCTGTCCGAGCCTAAATCTTACAATGGGACGGGTGCTGTAAAATCACACTTTCTGACTATGGGGAAAACACACCCGTCTTACAAGCGCTTTTTGGGCCCAAAGGAAGTGGGCCGCTTGAGTCTGGTTGGGGTTCCCTTTCATAGAGGGTCTGGACCGGGCCCGTCCCCAAGCCTTCTCTCAAAGAAAAAAAAGTTCACCGGAAAATTGAGAGGGCAAGATGGCCCTGCAAAAGCACGGTGCCCAATTTTACTGAGAGGTGGCTTTCCCAATGCCTTCTCTTTTTCTTTGAGAAGGCACCCTTTTCTGGGGGAGCCGGCAAACGCATATCCAGAGTTCCGATTTAATTATTGTCTTGTCCTTGCCAGTTTAGAGCGCAATGTCTCAAATGCGCCGTGTGTGCGCTCAAAATGGGGTAGTGGAGAGTATTTTTTGAAAAACAACACTACGAAGGGCACCCCTTTGCTTGACTCAAGGTACGGGTTAAGGCTTAAGGATCGCCTTTGAACAAACCAGATATACTCGAAAACTCCGCTGAATGGACCATGACCCACTTTGGGCTTGTCTTGAAATAGGGGAACACCAAACGGTCACCAAAGATTGGCTTCCTTTTGGCCTGTAAAACGCTAGAACCACTTCCCCAAAACTTAGGGAGGTATCTCTTGTTTGGTTCGCTTCGCAGAGTTAGATGAATGCTTCAAGACCCATCTGGGCTTTGGCCCAATTTGGACTCCTCAAACAAAATTGCCCTCATTCACTGGCCACGACTTGAAGGGCTCCCACTGTTCTTGCGCCGGGGTCGCTCCCCTGCTGCCCTGCTCCCCTGCCTCTGGCGCACACTCGCAGGGGTGGAGGTGGAAGTCATACATATGCGAAGTGAAGGGATCGTCCACCAGCATGGGCGGAACGCCCTCCTGAGCAAAAAAAAGAAACCGCTGGGGCTTCATATCACTGGCCCACGCCTCCGCTCAAACAAGATACCATTCAAAAAAAAGGAGAAAAAAGAAAACACGGTGTGTCAATGGCTCGCTCACTGCCCACATGCCTCTTCAAGATTCAAACATGTTACACCCCCTGAACCGCAAGAAACCCCACTCCATGTCCCACGTCACCCCTGTCCCCCTCGCCCCCACCGCAGGCGAACGCTTTGCTGGCCTCGGGGCTGCTGATGTTGGGCTGGGAGCAGCTGGCAACGCCGAAGCTCACGCTGGAGTCGCCCATGCAGGCCACCTAACATGGCAAGCGGGGGCCATCCCAAAAAACAAAGGTCGGGGAGGGTCCGGTTCTTTCGGAGAAATTTGTTGGAACTCCCAAAGGGTCTCTTTTGAAAGGGTGATTCTTCTTTCGGAGAAATTGGGTGGAACTCGAAAAGGGTCGCCGTAAAAAAGGGTGATTCCACACACAGAACCCTGAAACTTGTGGGTGTTGTTTTTGACATCCACGTAAACACAAACCAAAAGGATGTCAGCTATTTTCGGCAGCACCATCATCTGGACTTGTCTCAACTTCATAAACGATTCTCCAAAAAAGGGAACCGCTCGAATTATCCTTTTCGAATCTTTGATTCCGCTTTTGAGTTCATCTCTTTGATAAGACCTCCCTTTGCTTCTTAAGCCTAATGGAAAAAGAAAAATATGTCCAATAGTGATAGATCCCCTTTAAAGCCAACGGGGGAAATTAAAAAATAGTCAAGAAAATGGAAGCAGTCCATCTTTGGATTCACCTGCCTTGGGCCCGGCCAATTCCACATGTCCCGCATCGGCCAAGATGTAGTCCTCCGCCCGCTGGCCCAAAAAAAAGCAAAGGCCTGGTTTCTCAAGAAAGCCCTGCATTGAACTAGTTCTCTTCCTAAAACGGGTCAAACTAAAGCTATTGCTTGAACCAATCCCCTACCCTTGCTCCCGGAGGCAAGGGAGGGACACGCGAAAACAACTGCGGCCCAAAAGAGTGCTGCGAAGCCCAAGAAATATGGCCGTGTCTTTTTTGAGGGTACCTGTCGTTTTGGTGGCTTCAAGGGAAACCAAAGGGAAAACCATGATTTTTTATGGACCCCCTAGAAAAGACACTCCCATATTAACTTAAACCCAAGAAGTCTACTTTGGTAGCTTCCTGACATCGGTCCTTCTTCGGCTTGGCTTGGCGCAAGATCCACTGGCCGTCGCTGCACCCGGAGATGGCGCCGTCCACCGCCGACACGTAGCGGGAGAGGTACAAGGTCTCCTCGTATAGGTCTTTGCGGAGGGGGGGGGGGGGTTTGGCTGTGGTTGTCAAAACCGCTTTAGGATCCCATTTTGGGGTAGGTGAATTCACCACCCATTTTAGAACCTATTTTAGTGGGGATTGGGATGTTCATTGGGGGTACGTGTGGACTTTGACCCATGGCCATATGGGTATCTGTCGAGAAACGGTGGCTTTCCTTTGGTTTCCCTCTAGTTTACGCACAAAGGGAAGGCCTCCCAAATGGACCATGGACAGGATCTGTGAACTTCACAAAGGAGTGGCGCGTCTTTTTTTGCGGAGACCCGTTCTACAATTCGACTGCTGTCAACCCAGGTAAGCCAACAACTTGGTTTGGGTCGGGGAAGGTAGATCCTCTATGTGTTGCTCAAAAGAAAAACACATTGATCCCGATAGCAAAACGACTGTTTTTGGGTGTGTTCGAAATGTACCGTTGGGTTGCGTGCTTGAAAAACAAAAAACGAGAGCAACCGGTCCATTTGCGATGTTCTGATGTAGGAAAGACCCATGGCTTTGGCAGCTCAGCATTCCGGTTTGTTCAAAAATGGGGGGGATCATGTGGGCCATGTGGGGCTGTGTGTTTTAGGGGACCCCCAAATTAGCGGCGTTCCTTTTGGTTTCCCTTTAAAACGAACCAGAAAGGTACCTTCAAAGAAAGACACACCCATATGCAAAAGGATTTAGGATTGATGTTAACCAAACCAAACTGTATTGATCAACCCTGATTTTGAGCGGGGGGCAAGCGCTTTGCCCCGGGACGGCTCTGAAGAGGTCGACTTGAGTTGCTTTGATCTGTGGCGTTTTTTTCGAGTTGGCGCCCTTTTCGGATTGTCTCAAAGGGAAATCAAAGGAAAAGCGCACACCCCCATTTCAGGAGGTTCCACTGGCAACCCTCCGCTTCGCAGCCCACACACTCCCCAATGCACAAGCGGATGGCTCCTCCGGCGTCAACCCTTCCTTGAGGTAGAGAACATCCTGGGCTTGCGCGTGGATCCACATACAAAGACACACCGCAGCTTCTGAACCACCCGGACACACTTGTGAACAAACATCTAGGCCAACAAAAAGAGACAGAGAAAGTGAGATTTGGGGGGGGTGGTTGGATCACAGGGACAGTTTGATGCTAATCACCGGAAAGCCAAGACTGAGTGGATCTTCCTTGAGCAAAGTGATCGACCTAGCAAAAGATCGACATTTCTCTGACCCAACGACTTGCCAAGTACTGGCCCCATGACTTTACCAGCGAGGTCCCCCCCGCAAGAGCAAAGGGAAACAACCGCAGAATCTTTGATAACACCCAGAAACAGTCTCAAAATGGGGTTCGCATCCAACGCCCTCGCAACAAGCCCACAAAGCTGGGCAGGTAGAGAGACAAAAGCCCGAGGAGCCATTCTTCCACAAGCAACTCGCCTCTAAGTCCGGAACTCTGGAGTGACTGGATCAAAACCCTGTGTCACGAGTGGCACGACCCGTGGCTGCGCGACTGATAGAGTCGAGCAGCATTCCGGAAAAGGTCTGGAGCCACGGGGCAATACAGACCACTTTGGTACCAGGTGCCGGTGTTCACCTGCAAAACAATCCCCATGCCCCCAGTGCCGGACTGCTTTAGCCTTGCCAAGGAGGTTGTTTCGGGGGTGCTTGGGCTTGAAGTGGTGTGTGCGTGTGTGTGTCTGTGTGGGTGGGTGGGTGGGTGGGTGGGTGGGTGGGCGGGTGGGCGGGTGGGTGGGTGCGTGCGTGCGTGCGTGTGCGCCTGTTGCGTGCGTGTTGCGTGCGTGTTGCGTGCGTGTTGCGTGCTTGCTTTCGCGCGTGCGTGCGTGCGTGCGTGTGTGCGTGCTTGCGTGCGTGCATGCGTGCGTGCGTGCGTGCGTGTGCGTGTGGGTGTGCATTTGTGCATTTGTGCATGCGTGCATGTGTAGCTGCGTGTTTGTGTGTCTGTTTGTTTGTGTGGTTGCGCTTGTGTGGGTTTGTGCGCTTGTGTGTTTGCGTGTGTGCTTGTGTGTTTGTCTGTTGTGTGTGTGTGTGTGCGTCTTGTGTGTGCATCTGTATCTGTTTGGGATTGTTTGTGTGTTTGTTTGTGTTTGTGTGTTGGTGTGTATTGCCGTCTGTGTGCTTGTGTTTCTGCGCGTTGGTGTATTTGTGTGTGTGTGTGCTTGTGCGTTGTGTTCATGTGTGTGTGGGTGTGCGTGTGCGTGTGCGTGTGCGTGTGCGTGTGCGTGTGCGTGTGCGTGTGCGTGTGCGTGTGCGTGTGCGTGCGTGTGCGTGTGCGTGTGCGCGTGTGCGCGTGTGCGCGCGCGTGTGCGCGTGCGTGTGCGCGTGCGCGTGCGCGTGCGCGTGCGCGTGCGCGTGCGTGTGCGTGTGCGTGTGCGTGTGCGTGTGCGTGTGCGTGTGCGTGTGCGTGTGCGTGTGCGTGTGCGTGTGCGTGTGCGTGTGCGTGTGCGTGTGCGTGTGCGTGTGCGTGTGCGTGTGCGTGTGCGTGTGCGTGTGCGTGTGCGTGTGCGTGTGCGTGTGCGTGTGCGTGTGCGTGTGGGTGTGGGTGTGGGTGTGGGTGTGGGTGTGGGTGTGGGTGTGTGTGTGTGTGCGTGTGTGCGTGTGTGCGTGTGTGCGTGCGCTTGCGTGTTTGCATGCCTGTGTGGTTGCATGTTTGCGTGTTTGCATTCCTGCGTGTGTGCGTGTTTACGCGTTTGCGTGCGTGTATTTGCGTGTTTGCATGGTTGTGTTTGTGTGTTTGTGTGTTCGTGTGCCTGGCTTTTTTTCACTATTGTGTTTCATGTGTCTGTCTGTGTGTTTGTGAATTGTGTGTGTTTGTGTGCTCGTATGCGTGTGTGCTTGTGTGCTTGTGTGTTTGTGTGTGTGTGTGTCTGCGCTTGTGTGTGTCTGCGCTTGTGTGTTTGCGTATTTGCAAGTTTGCCTGTTTGCGTGTTTGTGTGTGTGTGTGCATGTTTTCGTGTTTGCGTATTTGTATGTTGTGTGTGTGTGTGTTTTGTTTGTTGATTTGTTCTTTCATTTGATTGTTTGTTTGCTTGTGCGTGTGTGGTTGTTCGTGTTTGCTTGTGTTTGGGGACAAACTCCAACTGCAGAGTGTGCGAAGGGGCTGGCACGTCGCAAACGTTATCATATGGCATGTTGTCTTAGTTTGGAAGCTTGGGAAATGTGAGCATGCTCGAATCAATACTACCGTCCTTATCGCTTTGTGCGAAACAAAATCTGCAAACTCTTTCTATATACATGGCTCTGAATTAGTATCCAATTGATGGAAGATTTGGAAAACGGCAAAAAGGGCACTTCCATGTTTGGAGTGATGGATCTGGGGAAGTGCCTACAAACACGTGGAACCCAAAAACGTTGGCCCCCTTTCGGTTTCCTTCAAAGCCAACCCAAAAATGGGGGGAGCGAGCCTCAAAAAATGAAGAGCCACCCCTTTGTTGAATGGAAGGTTTCCAGCCTCCATGCACACAGCCTCGGCAGTGCAGTCGGTCACCTGACAGCCGCTGACCCAGGGTTTGTCTTGGAATGCATGCGCGTGCCCGCAAATGCAAAAATGCTGGCTTAACATGATCTACTTAACATGATCTTCCCATTGTATTTGGTGTTGGCTTCACGCAGTTTGTGCTTCTTGTTGACTTGTTGCTTGCTCCGTTTCAGGTTTCTGTCAGCGCTACATGTATTCAAAATTGGTGGCCTGGAGCCTTGGCTACTGCTGTGGTTTCGGTATGCGCGGCCTTTGCTACGGGGTGCGGCCTCGAGCCTTGGCAGTTTGAATCCTGGCAGCTGCTTGGATTCCGCAGAAGCTGTTTTGAGAAAGATGCGTTGCATCACCTACAACTCAGCACGGCCTGCAGCGTCACCAACCATCCCTGGCAATGCCCAAGGATTCAATGGAGGTGTAAACAACAGCGGGCCAAAAATCAGGAATCAAACATCGGCCCTTGTTGGCAACATCTAGCCAGCATCACCTGCAACTGGCTTCCAGCGTCAGCCCTCAGTGAGTCCCTCATGTCTGCTCCCAAAAAAAAATGGTCGGGTGGTGTCCCCAACCGGGAAGCCGTGAACCCTAGCCCAGAGCTGCTCCAAACCAGACCAATCCGAAGTGACATACCAAAGGAGAACCTTTTGTGACTGGCTAGACTGGATAATCTTGACCGAACTTCATGAAATTCGTTCTTAGTCCCGTATTCCCCGTGTCCGAAGAGTTTTGGGTCGCGCCCCATGTCCTCCCCTCCGTAGATAACCCACTCGCCAGTTCAACCCAAAATCGCCTTGGCCATGGCCGTCACAGTGTTGCCGGGCGCCACGGCGGCGTTCCTCCGCACCGCTTTTGGCTATCTCTTTTGGGTTCTTGGTTGCTCTTGACCCCCCCTAACTTTTTGGGGGGTTAGTGGAAAACACCACAGTTAAAGTCTAAAGATCCAACCCAATAGCAGTCAAGGGTTAGCCCCTTTGTTTCATATCGCAAGCTTGATGCCTTGCGGAAGAAAAGAAGAAGAAAAAAAACGGGTGCAAATTGCTGCCTCAATTTTTGGGAGAGGTTGTGGGCTATCTTAAAACCAGTTGATGAATCTTGGAGTAAAACTGATGGGAATTGTGTCTTCCCATGGTTCAAGGAGCCGAAAAGTATGCCAAAGTTGTTACACAAAAAAAAATGAGGTGCGATGAAAGTGCCCTACTGCCGCGCAGCCCTTGAACTTTGGATCCTGACGTCGGGAAAGAGCGTAGTTGACCGTCTTTGGCAAGGCATCAGCTGTCATAAACTCGTGTCTCTGAAGAGGCCAAAAGCACGCAAATCCCACTGGTGCCTGTTTCAAGTGTGCTAGTCATGCAGCCCAACCGAACCGTGATGTCTAAGGCGGGCTTCTTCTTTCGCTTCCTTGGAAGCTCCATTGAAGAGGGTGCTCCTTTCCAAAGTCAGCTCACAACCTCTCTCCCCGCCCACCCACACACACACGCACGCACACACAGTTTCCCCCACCTCCCATTTCCCCAGCCCAAAACTGGCAGAAGCAAGAGCGCCCTTTGCAAAGAGCGCCCTTTTCCCAGTATGATCGTTGTTGGGCTCCATGGTCACAGGGCAGCAATCCCACAAAGGGCACCGAAAAAAGCACGATTCCAAAAGCGCCAAAAAAAAAACAACACCCGACTTTCCCCAAGGCAGAGCAGCAGAGCAAAACCCGGCAGAACCACCGCGTCTGAGGCGCACGTAGCGCTGGCAGGTGGAGCCGGTCCACTTGAAGCTGGAGCAGTGGGCGTCTTGGCGGCAGCTCTGGCGGCACTGCACCTCCGACGTGGACCCGGGGTCGGCCGTCGGGGTGTCCCTGAAACCTCGGAATGCGGCCGAGGAATCGGGTGGTAATACGGCAAGGGGAAAGATGGTGCTCAAAGGGACAAGCTCTGTGGGGAGAATTGCCTAGCTGCAAGCCCCCGGAGCAAAAGGTCGTGAGCGACCTTGGGTCCCTCCGAAGAGGGAACCTCGAAGATTTGAGGGCATACAGTCCGAGAAACCTCGGCGGAATGTTCCGAGAATGGATGCTCCAGTATTTTCAGCCATCGTTCTTTTCAAAACCGGATGCTTTCCCCTGCGTTTTTTAGATCGCTTCCTGCAAAGAAGGATCCCTGGAAAGAATGGGGAAGCCAATTCTGGACATGTGCAGACCCGTTGTGGCCACCAACTTTAATGGGGAACCACCTCTCAAAAGCGGCTGTTTGAATGGATCCCCACCTGTACGATGTCCAGAGGCTCCCACAAAGATCGAACCCCGTATACAGCCCGAAAAGAAACCGTCAACCCATGAACCCAATCAACCCCATCAGTTCTATGAACCAAACCTGTTTGGATTTCCCTCCCACGTCAGGAAGCCTCTGAACCACATAAACACAAGAACCACCTGATCACCAAGCCCGTCAACCCCAACAACCCCATGAAACCTAGTCACTGCGGATCATGGTGAAACGAGGGCACCCGTCTTTGCTTGGGTGGAAACCCCCCTCCAAAAAGAGGAAAAGGGTGAAATCTTGAGTAAAGCACGACTTTGAAACCAGGGGTTTTGAGTTTCACGTGGATTTAACAAATCTTGTCGGAGTCCTTGACAGGCGAAGTGAATCCATGCCCGCCTCGTATGAGATCAACTGTCCAATCATTGGGGCCTTGAATGTGTGAACCCAACCCCATGCGCCATACGAAAGCGTCTTCCCCGCGGCCCTAAACAGACCCTTGGACTTCGGGCGTGCGCGGCGGATCGAATTTCCGGCACCCAAGCCCTAACAGCGGCAACTAAAAAACACCATGACGCCCACCGAAAACCCTCCACTTGCGAACAAGCCCCTGGAAAACATGTGAAAACATGCCCTGTGATAGATGAAACAAACAAAAACGAAACGCACATGGAAGACCCTTCTGACCCGAAAACAAGCCACGGAAAAAAATTGGGACGAGGGGCTCTTCGGGACCCAGCACACATCGTCCAGGACGTCGATAGAGAGGCTGGCCACCACCTCATGTGCAAAACGAGCGAGGTGCAGTTTGGGGGGACTGGCTGGAAAAGGAAACAACCGGCAAGGGGAAATTCAGGCTTGCAGTGCTAGAGTGAGTATCCCAATGTTCACTTGGGGGTTTATGCAGACGTTGATTAAGCAAACCCCTGGTTGATGCTGATTGGGGGGGGGCCATCCCTTAAAGGGGTGATGCACATCACTTTTGGGAGCTGCAGCCAAAAGTGAAACAAGAATTCATACGGGTTTGAACAGGCACAGCCTAATCGGGTGACATTGCCAAAATATACAAAAATAGATTCTGAAATGATGCTTGAAATGTATAAAGAGGACAAACACGAAAGAGGAAATGACATGTGCATCTATATATGTATAGATAAATATATATGCATATTGTGTAGATAGATCGGCACAAATCCAAGGGGTCGCACTAGTTGCACCCTCCTTGAGTTGCGTCAGTTTCCAAGGCTTATGAAGATCCTTCGAATTCAGGAATAGTCTTCCCTCATGCCAACCCCAGACGTGTGACTTTCCGCATTCTTCAATCCTACCCCTTGGTTTGGTTTGGTGGACCATAGAAAATGACTGCTTTCCCCATTTAGTTTTCCAAAGAGAACTGGGGGTAATGGGTTTCTTTTATCCCCCAGCATCATGGCAAATCTCCAAGGCCTCACAATGAGGCTCGCACCTTGGGACCACGCACACAGAGGTTAAGTCATCAACTCGCCCGATGCATCCTCTGCTTGTCATTGCAGCATAGCATGCCATGCTTGGGGTCGTATGGGTATCTGTCAGAACCTCCCCTTTAGGTTTCTCTGAAATTCAACAAACTGAAAGGGTATTCTCGAAAACACTCACACACACACACACACGTGTACATACATATATATATATATATGTAACAAGTTCCAAGAAGGTAGCCTTCAAAGGACAAGACCATGACGCAAGGTTACGGCTGCAAGTTCATATATTGCCATATATTGGAGACGCATGTGGTCCGAGCATCAGAAGTGGGTTCAGAACAACATCCCCCTCTGCGTAATTAATGCACATGTATATATCCCCATATATATATATATATATATATGTGCTATCGCGATAAAGCAGGCCAACACGGTTAACTTTGCAGTTCACTGACCAAACTCTGGGACGATGAAAATGTAGTCTTGTGTTTGTGGGGATTTTACCGAGGTCCCCCATATCCTGGTGTCTTGATTCTCTCTGGCTCTCTCCCTCTCTATGTACTTCTCCGAAACTGTCTTTTGATCACCTGATAAATTCGAAATGGAACCTTAAACGCCCACCCCCCTTCAACTCCACGCCCCAACACAGCCCTCACTGAGCTCCCGACTGGGCTGATGGAGCTGCAGTGCTTGGAATCAACCACCCCCAACCTCCGACCCCACCACCTCCAGCCCCCCAACCTCCAACCCCACAACCCCAACCGCATCCAACCCCAACCCCGCAAGCAAACCAAGAGCCCCAGTCCGGGCCCGCTTCGATCCAAGCGGCAGGGCTCAAGGACTGGTCGGGGAAGGTGCCGAAGACAGAGCAGGAGAGGCTCACCTCGACACCCCAAGGTTTCAGCGGGGACCACATGGCTGGTCAAAAATAGGTAGTCAAAACGGAACCCTGGTAAATGGAACCAAGGACTAAAACCTGCGATCCCCCGGTGGTGTAATTTTGACCCACACCCACATAGAAAACCGTGATTCCCCAAAGAGATGTGGTTCACAACGGAATTCCTGCGATTCACCCGGATGTAGCATACAACCATGTTCGTTTCGCCTGGTGCACGTTGTGCGTAGGCTGCAGAAAGGAAATCAAAGAGAAACAGAAGGCGCCTATGTGGGGGGGGGGGGGTTGACTCTTGAAACACGCCATTGAGCGAATGAGGAACTTGGAAACGCAGCAACTTTGCCGTGCAGGGCTATCGGGTTTTGGATCCCCGCCCCTGCAAGTTCCAGCACCATGGTCTTCTTGCTTAACGGGATGTGGTTTCTTAAATCTATGTGGTTGCTTGCAATTCGCTTGTTGCTTAAATCTATCGGCATCTTTTTCTCTGAGTGCTGCAAGGGAACCGGAAGCTTCAATTTGCATTTTCTGCGCCTCTCAAAGAACACAAATATGGTATCCGCCACAGTTCCGCCTGGAACCCTAGCCGGCCACTCCAAACCACCCCCAAGCTTATTTGGGCAGAGACCCCATAGCTTTCAGCTGTTGGGGAAAATTTAAAAAAATACCCATCGTGACCGTGTCCATCCTCGCATTCGGGGCAGATTCGAAAATTGCCTTGAGCAAATCAACGCAAGCCTGGGTTGAAACAATGGTTTCTATGCCTGCTTTGCGCTCTTTGGAGAATCCACGGCGACAATCAACGGAAGTGTTAGGGAACAGTGCTCCATATGGCCATGGGTCAACGTACCCCCAGTGAACATCCCAATCCCCACTAAAATAGACAAAAATGGTTGGTGCACCTACCCCAAAATGGTACCATGCGAAATGGTTTTTGTCCATAAAAAAAAGTGTCAACCTGGCATCTCTTCTAGAACTCACTGAAAAAACTCAAGGGAGCGATGCTCAAAATCCACCAATCCCCCGAAAATTGTCTCAGCAAGGAAGGAAGTGTACATCAAATTTCCTCGGTTCCCCTGGGAAACAGCCCACGGAATATCCCGAGCGGAACCTTCCAACACAAAGACGTGGCATGGCATGCTGGCGGATTGACCCCATGTTGCAGTTGGGGGACAAGGGTAACATAGGGGCCGAGATAATTAGAATGGGGTTGGGGGGGTGCCATAAGCAACGCTCCTTCTTTGTGGGTTTTACGGGAAGCCAGAAGCAAAACCACCATGTGTGAGGTCTCAAAAAAAAAAAACATGACACACCAAAGTTGGCAACGTAGACACCCCCAAATCCCAAGAAAAGGGGGCCACCTTTTTGGTTTCCGCCTTCTTCCGTGTGCCCCCGGTGCTGGTGAGGGCGTCGAAGATCGCCGACATGGCCCGGGGGGGAGAGATGAGGATCTCGCCATCCGCGCTCACCTGAAGGACTCGAGGTGAGTCTCACGGGAAGGAAACTAGAACCGAACTGTTGGTAACTTCCTTTGGGAATCAAATCAGAAACCAGGGTTCCTTAGGTGGTGCGACATGGATCTTGTCCATCCACAGTAGGGTTGGTTGAGGGTTGACTTAGGGTTGGTTGAGGGTTAACTTCGTCGGGTTAGGGTCGGTCCATCCAGGGTTAGGGTCAACCGGAGTTCGGAAAGGCCATGCCCAGAACATGTTGCATGCCGTACTTGTTTGCGTTTGGGGTACGGGCGTAGCAACAGCTTTGGGGCCGGTTCCTTTGCCATGACAGACCGCCAAGCAGGGTACCATCAACACAAGACACGCCCATGTTGATGTGTTCCAGAGACCGTAGCAAGTTGAAGCTGAGGTTCCAGGCACAAGCAAGAGATTGGCAACTGCTGCTCAGCCAGTGCGGTATGTGTAACTCACCTTGACGGGAAAAAACATATGGTTGTAAGTGCGTGTGTGTGTGTGTGTGTTGTTTAGGGTACCCCCTTGTGGTTGGTTTTCAGGGGAAACCAAAAGGAAAACACAATTTTGGGGTCCTTTCATGGGTGTCTCAATAAACACAGATGTGGCTAGAACCAGTCCTTTCCTTTCGGCTCAGGACTCCGAGCAACCCCCTTTGAAGAATACCCGAAAGGAAACCAACCATTTGCAACGTGCGACGATGGCTGGAAACAACCATTTAGTGTCAAACCCGCAGTTCCAAACAAAAACTTGACAACCACAGCTGGATCTCTGCCCGCGCAGCGTGGGGGTAGAATGAAGGAGGCCGATGTGATTCCCAAAAACTTGGTTGGAACCACAAGGAAACTTAGCAGCAAAACGCTTGGTGGTGTGGTTGTGTGGTTTGGATTGATGATTCTCGGATTGGCACCCCTTGTTCTGATTGAGAATCCATTGGACAACCTTGCTGGTTCCCGCGTGAATCAATTTCGTTGGATCCAGCCAAAGATTGTTTGAACAAAAGGTCCACCCTCTTCTTTCTTGAAAATTATGTTCCAGTGCAGAAGGTGGTTTTTTGTTGAACTTGCTTGTTCCAGTGGACCAGAGGGCAACTGCACGTGGTTCAACAAAAAGGCGCCCCAAACCAACGCGCCTCCAACAGGCTGTAGCCCTCCAGCAGCCCTGCGCCCAGCAACTCGTCGTAGGCCCAGCCCAAGCTGTGCGTGGGAGTGCACGCCACGTAGAAGTCCGATGGCTTCAGCAAGCCCTGGGACTTTGGTCTGTAACCAAAAGCCTTTCTTGTGGCTTTTCAAGGGAAAGCCAAAAGGAAAACCACCAAGAGGGGGGTCTCTAAAAAAAGATACGCCCACCACGAATCGAAGCGCACGAATCAAAGCGGCGTGCTTCGCCAATGCTTCGCGAAGGGCGTGGACGGGAGTCCCCGACTGTTGATGGCCCAAAAAAGAGCCAGCCCGCAAGTGCGGGCTGGATCCAAGACGAAAGCAGAAGGTATGGCACCCCAACGCCCGAAAAACTGACAGAAAAAAAACAACTACACACCACCAACCAGCGGTGCTTCCCCCTAACCCCTCCCCCACTACCCCCCCCCCCACCCAACTCCCCACTACCCCCCCCCCTCCCACCCAACTCCCCAACCCCGTGTCCCCAAGCCCAAGCCCTACCCCCCGCCTCTCCGGAGGGCACCACAGGCTTCAGCACCGGCAGCTGCTCCCCCAGCGTCACCGAGACCCCAGGCGCCTCGTAGCTCAGCGAGGCCCAGGGCTGCGGCCACAGCGCCACCACCTACGCGCAACTCGTGTTGGGAGGTTGGGGTGGTTTTGTTTTTTTGGGGGGGAGCTTGGTACATTCTTGGGGGCTTGCAGTTTGGGGGGTTGTTGGGGGTTGTTGGGGGTTGAGGGTATTCGGAAGGGCTTTGGGGGGCGGGGCTTGAGGAGGTCGTGGCGATTTGATGCCCCCATGACTGCCGGTTCCAAGTAGAAAATCGCTTCAGGGGTTTTGAGAATAAACCGCAAGGCCATGGTCACGTCGATTCGTCTGGGTTTTGGCTCTTGATGTCGGGCAGGCCATTGCGTCGGTCAAAATGAGTTTGGAACCCTTTCTCTGTGGTGCTGAGACTGGGTAAAAATAGAAAAATGTGAAGAAGCCACCCTCGTGAAGGTGGGCGTGTCTTGCTTTGAGGGTGCGCAGTTTCGGTGGTGGTGTTGACCGGCCCGATTTGCGGCTTTCCGTGTTTCGAGGCAAGCCAGCTGGAATGGGGGTGTGGGGAACGTCAAAAACGAAAAGAATCCAGAATCATAGGCTCATCAATTGTACTATAGTCAATCTTGCTTTGCAAAGACTTGGGTGGTCTGCAAAGCTGGAGTAGCGCCCCCCACCCCGAGTCCTCCCCCAAAACCAACGGATCATCGATTTCTGGCTGTCTCTTAAAATTGGCGGCCCTGACAAAATGACGATGTCATGGCGACTCATTAGGCGGTCATCTTGACCTTCACTTTGCGCCTTAGTTGTCCTCTGCTGCCATTTCACCGTGCCCACCGGCATGTGCTGGGCCGTGACCACGCAAACACCCCCAGTCTGCCCGGTCATGGTGACGTCCTGGGCACTGGATCTTGGGGCCTTGCAGGGATCAACTTAACGGGAACCCCGGATTACACCCGTTGACGGGGTTCCCAGAAAGTGGGTTGCAGCCATGGTAAGGAAACCGGGCCAGCCTCGACAGGCCGGGTGGAACGGCCAGGATTCCCACGCAAAATGGCGAAAGCAACTCATTTCTCTCAGCTATGGTAGTGACAAACCAACCGTATCCCCAGGGGATCTGTGGGCATGGTAGGTAAAAAAACACACCAAATGGCATAGGGAACCTCCTTTAAAGCAATCCAGGAAAGGGCTTCGCTCAAGGCAACACGCACCCTTCCGGGTCCAAACTTCCTTGCCCAGAGACCCTTTGTCATATTCTTCCAAAGAAGTTGGCAAGATCATACAGTGTGAGTCATACTCCCGCAGCAGATGAACGGAAGGAGGCAAGAAGGGGATCCCCAAGATGGAGGTTCCTCAAACACAACGGCTCTTCGGCTTCCACTATTTCATCTGCGGGAGTGTAATCAAATGTGCTTCCGCTCGAACCTGTCGCAAACAGTTTGGATTTGCCCTCCACCCTTCCAGGAGTCTGATCAAAACCTACTCGATCCAACGTCTACCACAGACCCACGGTAAATCGCAAACGGAAGGCTACCCGGGTTGTGAGTGCGGCTGATGTGTTTCCATCGCACCTGAAAACGCGTTGACCGGTTGCTTCTACAGAAGCAACCATGATCAGTGTAAAGCACAAAAACAAGAAGCCTCACTGGAACAAAGGTTCCGCTGAAATGGGGCACAAAGGACGAGGAAACAGAGATCGGGTTGGTCCGGGTCAGGATCCCCATTGCTCTCACGATGTCCGGGATTGAAAATCGTAAAACCCAGCGCTAGTTTTGACGCTGGCAGCTGAAGGTTGGCACCTGACGAATAGCACAAAACATGTCCCATTGCAAGTTCCTGTCCTGTTACTTGGACTGGAAGAAAAACTCCAAACCAATCTACTAAAAAGCAAACCAAACACACCCGTCAGGTGGCTTGTACGTGGCCTGTACGTGGCCTGTACGTGGCTTGTGCGTGGCTTGTACTTGCCCTGTACGTGGCCTGTACGTGGCTTGTACGTGGCCTGGAAGGAGCCGGGTGGACCTCTTCAGAAACCACAATCCCGAGGCTTGCAACCCTTCTCAAACTCTTTCACGCCCTCCCCCGTCATTTTGCAGCCGATATGTGTGACCCCCTCTTGATAGCCGGGGAACACCTAATCCGTAGTGCGTTTGACACATCTGGTCAAAGGATTAAGGAATGATTCTAAACTAAAGAACAACCCAGTTTCCTGCGTGCAAACTCCCGGAAGGAACATTGGAAAAAAATGGGGGACCCCTGTTCTTGGAGCATCTCTCCTAAGACAGACTCCTCTTGTTTTCTTTTTGTTCTTTCTTTTTTTCTTTTTTCCTAAGACAGCAACCTCTCCACCCGCCTCCAACCCCAACCCCCAAGCCAAAGCCCCCGTCCTCCGTGCCAACAGCCCCGGCCGCAGTGCTCGTACCGCGGGTGAGGTCCCCCGTCGCAGCGTTCACCACCAGCCACGCCGTGGACGGCGCACAGGTCACCTGAGACACGTCACTCGTGAGCCGCGCCGCACCAAAAAACCGGGCGAGTGAGCTACCCATGTCGGCTGTGGCTGTCAAAAATAACCCCAAAATGGAATCGTGGCAAGAAGTGCAGTGTACTAAAACCTGCGGTCCGATTCCTGGTGGTTTAATTTTGACCCATACCTCTGTATTTTTGAGTCTCGTGTTCTTTTTTGGGAGCGAGCCAGCTTTTGCTTCAAAGGGAAACAAAGGGACACCAACCAGTTTGGGGCCAAAATGTTTCGGGTCGCAAGAATCGGAGACGCCTAGCAAGATATGTGTCTAAAAATAGGCAAAGAACCCGGCCAGGAACACCAACACTTCTTGGTGTCCTTTAAAGCTACTCCAAACAGGGTCCTCTTGACAAGAAGACACTGGCAAATATCAGCACCTAGTTATGGTTTCCCCCAGTCTTCGTCTACCCGGGTTTTGGTTGTGGCTCGAGTGAGGTGTTGTACCAATGCAACATCTGCGGATGTTCAACCAGACTTCTGATTTTCGAAAAGGCACCAAACATGGAACAGAGCTGAACATGCCAAAGAGAAACCGCCCATGTTGGGGCGTTTCCGCATCCAAAAGCAAACATACTTCTAGCTGTTCTGATGTCCACCAAAGACCTGAAAGAGGGGGACACCTAACAACATCGCCCCTCAGCCCAAAAGGTTTCATGTTGCCTGCCCCATGTTTGACACATAACACACACTCACACTCACCTCTCTTTTGAAACGCAAAAGGGATCCAAACAGATCCTACTTTTGACCACGGTTCAAGTTTTGGCTGCCCTTCATGAAAGGCAAACGAATTGTGCAACCTTCGCACTCCCAACCATCAAGCTTTGCTGGAAAAGCAGCTCTGGTATTGGATGGACGTATTTGGCTTCGGGCGGGTGCAAATGAAGGACCCTCTGTCAGGAGAAAAACAAGTTGGCTTTCCCTCACAATGCAAGCTTGTTCATCTGACAACCCCCAAGCTCCTCATCCCTCCCCCCTCTCCCGGCCAATAGCAAAGACAATAAAAGAACATCAACAATCACCACAAAAGAAGAAGAAAAAAAAGATAATGACAACGGCAAGGGTAATAACACTACATACTCAACCAATGAAAAACAACTCACTCACTCCATGGGCCGTAGGCACCTCTTCTCTCACATCGATCCCGCCTGGAAGTTCTCCCAAGTGCCCGCGGCCTTCATCGCTTGGAAGGTGGGCGGGGAGCTTTTCGGGAACAGCAGCAGCGGCACCCCGTACGCGAACCAGTCCTCGGATCGAGTCGGAAAAGAGGCGCCGCGCCGGGGGAGTCGGGCGGATACAATACTAGGGTGGCCTCTTTTTTGGGTGGTTTTGACGGGAAACCAAAAGGAAAATCACCGTGTTGGCGGGGGGAAAACAAATCCCTAACTGGATGTCCACCAGTAAAGTCAAAAGAACCCTGAGAAGTGGTCCTTTCGTGAGCATGCTGACCCCGATCAATAAACCCCAGTTCAGGAAGTGTCCATTTGAGAGGGGGCTATATATAGTTGTTCTCCTCCGGCGATGTTGTTGTCAAGTGTGTTGGTGAGTTTTCGTGGGTGGTACGGACAAATATGTCTGGATCTCTGGATCAAAACATAGTTTCAGGTGGACAAAGCGGGCTGTAATCAAATCCCCTTCAATCCTCAATTGCACAAAATGCAGGTGGTTGCGCTCTTTCCTCTCAACTGGAACAAATCACAATCAACCAGAAGTTTCTGACTCCTGGGGGCCAACATCCTCACCCAAATCAAACCCCCTGCCCTTGGTTGACATTTGAAGGAGAGCAAACATTTCATTTTTAGCACTTCAGAGGTTGGACTTCAACCAACAAAACCACACCAAGCAAAAATGCAACCTGTGTCCCAACATCAAACCCCCGGCCCCCCCCCCCGCCCCCAACCTCCCCCCCTCCGAAAACTTTTCCACTGCCGCCGGAGCCGCCATAGCCACCCGCACCGGCGCCTCGAAGGTGACCCCCGGCGCCTGGTGCGCCGTCACGGTGCACTCCAGGCTGAAGGCCTTCCGAGAAAAAAAAAATAAATAAATAAAAATAAGAATACGAATAATCAAAAAGGAAAGAAGAAGAAAAAACGAAGGCCTTTCGGTGTCCAAGCCCAAAGGACCCGAAGAAATGGAGACTTCGGTACGCTCCTGTTGGACTTACCCCTGAACAAACCACCCCCCCAAAAGCGGCCCAGAGTGTTTCGCATCGCATCGACATTTGTCGGAGTTTGCACGAGATCAAGGCCTCGTTCTCACTGGCAACATGTGCGCAGTCTTGTGTTTGTATCCACTCAGCACGTTTTCGTGCGTGGGTCGTGATTCAGCTCCCATGAACAAAATTATCGCAAAAAGGACTTCGCTTGAACTAGCTGCGCTGAGAGTTCCCTACATGTTGTCAGCACGCCAATCACCAGCCATAGCGCAGGGTATTCCCTGTTCTCCGCTTGCAAGAATACGTGTCGCGGTGACTGATCCAGTCGGGTAGTGGCTGACTAATTTTGAGCCCCGGAGCTCTTACACCTCCGATCTTCCCAGTTGGAAAGGGTGCGAAATGGACTCAAAAACAAGTGTCCTGGATTGGGGGTGCGTGCAAACAAACAAACAGCAGCGGTCGGCCGCCCATTCACCTGCGAACACGCGGCCTTTGTTGGTAGTAAAAACCCTTCGGGTTCAGTTGAAGGGGACCGAATGGAAACAAAGGGGCAGTGCAGATTTGAGGACTGATTTCTCCGAGACAAACCTGATTTCAATCCAGAATTTCTAATTCGAACCCCTGCTCGACTTTGCTGGGAAATCGCCTCTGTGAACCAAAAGGTAGAATGTATCAGGAGCCCCCGAAATGAGGGTCGTCTTTGGGCTTCCTGTTTCACCAATCCCAAGGGTACCCTCCCAAACAGGTTGATAAACTATGTTAACACTGCATCCGTCGCCGCTTCTCCGGGAATTCCTTATAAGAAAGGTAATTAAGGCAGCATGCCTGAAGAAACACACACCATGGCCCCGATTTTTTCAGGAACACCCAGAAGAAGGTGGCTTCAACAGCTCGGTGTTTTCACTGGAACAATCGCCCAACCCTGGTCGCCTCCTGTGGAGACGAGCCCACGCTGGAGATCACCCCCGTGGCTCCATCCATGGTGAGATTGTAGTCCGCCAGCTCCTTTGCCCCAAACTGGCGGGGTTTTCCCCAACAGCTGAAAGCTTTGGGGTCTCAGCCCAGATCGGCTCCGGGGTGGTGCGGGGCGGCCCTGAGGTAAGGTTTCACGAGGGTTCCACCAGGGTTCCACCAGGGTTCCCCGAGGGTTCCACGAGGGCTGCGGGGGTGGTGCGAGCACTAAAAAGAGCACCGCATGCTCTGGGGATATCACCTGAGCTTAGTTCTTTTGACTTGTTGGGCACGAAACAGCTGATTTGGACGCTGATTTGGACCCCAGGCGCGAAAATGCAATGGTACCTTGTGACGTCCAAAATTGAAATCCAAAGGACCCAAGCTTCTGGCAAAAAGTGCTCTCCCGGGACTCAAAGCAAGATTGATGGACTCCGCCCTTTGGAGCTTCAGCAGAGGCTCTCCCACTCCCCAAACCCCTCAACCCCCTGGGCCAAGAACGCAAAAAGATCGGCTCTTCCCCTGGCACCAAACAGAAAGAAGCAGCCGGCCGGCTTTGCCCCACTTGGGCCCCGCGCTTTTTGTCCGCCCCAAAACCGAGCGAAGAAATCCGAAGAAATCCGAGGCGCGCAGCCCTCGTTCAAGGAGTAGCGCTGCGCGGTGCGTGGGGAGGGCGCCAAGGACACCGTGCTGCCCAGCGCCCAGTGCTTCACCTGTGGTTTTGGCAGCTTTGAAGGGAAACCAAGGGGAAAACCATCATGTTCAGGGACCCCCTAGAAAAGACACACCCACAATAACCTTAAACCAAGAAGTGGGTATGGGTCACAATGAAACCACAGGAATCGGACCGCCGGTTTCAGTCCATGTTATCACTTACCCGGGTTCAATTTTGGGGTTACCCTATTTCTAATAGAGACAAGGAGAGGAGTTGGAATCCGGGGGTGCGGATCTACATACCCCAGTGGCACATGAATTCATGAGAGGGCTGATGTTCAGACGCCTCTCGGTGTTTGTTGCCCCTTGCAAAGAGGGTTGGCAACCAGGGACTTCCACCCTTAGATGGAAGCCCTTCTGATTGAAAATGGTTGGTTCAGCTTCAACTAGTGGTTTGGAGCCTGGCGGCGTGGTGGTTAACCTCTACAAGAACCAGGCGTAGAAAATGGTTGGTCTGCTTTTGGCTTCCCTTGAAACACCCATCCAAAAGGAGTCTCTGGGTTATGTTTGCTAGGGGGTTCACTTGCGTCAGTTGGCAGACCCCAGTTCACTCTCCCCTCTCCCTCTCTTGCCCTCTCCCTTGTTCTCACCCCCTGTAGCTCTCTCCCCTACCTCACCCTCACCCAATGCACAACCCTTTCAATCCAAGGGTTCGGCCCATCTCTGCTTCCTACACGTGCCAGAATCCAAACTGTATGATCCGAACTAGCTCGTGTCTTGTCTAGCCCTATCAAATGAACCATCGTGGTAACCCAGCGCTGTTGTTTAGTGACTGTTCAAACTGCCTGTTGGAGCCCTTTGTTTCTCGAATCGGCCGATTCGGCTCTTTTTTCAAGAACACATGCACTCAACCGCAATTCTTGCACCCAACCCAGCATGCCAGGAGGGAAGTGTCATCAAACGAGCAGAATTTACTATATATGTTCCCTACAACACAGTTTCCTTAGCTTCCTAATTCGGGATTCAAAGCTCCGGTCTTTAGGCGCACACACACACACACACGCAAAGAAAAACCAAGCTCTCCACAGCTGCCTCAAGTCTGGGAATAACCTCCGAAACGGTTTCCTAAGCTAAGTAAATTCTCGCAGCCGCGCGCTTTCGTTCTCCGAAAGCGCCTCGTAGCTAAAGGGCGTGGCCGTCACGTGGCCACCCCCGCACTTGCAGCAGGCCTCGTTGCTGCTGAGGCCCTTCACCTGAGAGCCAGGGCTTTGGAAGGCTCCCAGGTACTAATCTTCGGTGTCCTTTTGCTTTCCTTGAAAACCATCCCCAAAAAAGGGCCCCACCTCCAAAAACGACACACCCTCACCAGGCACACTTCGGCATATTGCGCAGCACAACTACCCTGAACAAGGCGGTCAACCACAACAATCAGACCAAGTGTCCCTCTTTTTCCCTGAGCCATCCCTCGTCCGTCCCTCGACTCGTCCCTCGTCCCGGCGCCTTGACGTCGTCGCAGTCGTTTGTCCCAAGCTGCGCACAGGTCAGCCCCTGGCGGCTCACCCACCCGGCAACTGAGGCGCACGAGGTACACGCGCCTGGAGACTTGGAGACATGTCCCGGCCCAAAGCCCGGCAAACATACGACTACGTATGTGTACACATAAACGTATATATATATATATATATTGTATATTGTATATATGTTATATCTTCATATCATACAAATGATGCATACAAATGTTGCAGGTATGCTGTACTGTATACTTACCCACACGTGTTGTGCTAACGAGCAGAGGATATTCAGTGGCCTTGCCGTTTGCTATTTCGACAAACTCCAGTGACCAATCCGTGTTTACAAAAGGGTGTCCGGGAAGATTGCCAATTGACCATCCTTTTGCGCCTTTGTTTAGGAAATAAAATGCAAAGCAATGTGTTGTTAGCCCCCAGCACAGCTCAATAAAGAGCCAGTATGAAAATTGCCATTGTTGAAGCGGCGGCCCCATGAACCATAGACTCTATACTTGGACAAGAGGTGAAATGGGAAAAGCAAGCATCCCAACATGGGGCACCCCCAATTTTCCATGTGTGAGGGACCTCTATCTTGGGACACGCCCAAATGAAGTTCGGACACATTCGAGTAGTCTATAGTCACTTTCGGAGGGACATGGGGAGACTCAAAAAGAATTCTCATAAAAGAAGCGGGGGTAGCAAATTTTGACCATGGTGCATCAATTTGGTTCCGCCAGCAGCTAAGTCTGGTTACGCGCTTCATCCTGAAAGGCCATGGCCAAGAACAAACTTTGAGTCCGTGAGAGAAGTCGAGAGCGAACCAACGCAATTGAGTGACGGTGTTGATGACAAGCAGATCATATGCTTTCTGGATCCGTCTGCCATCATCATGCCACATAACTCTCCAGAAGCCTTTGGCTTCAAGCACCCAGGCGTGTAACTGGGCAACCGTTGAAATCTCCGATGTTCCTGCGAGTTTCTGGTGGAACAGCAAAAGTCCTTGAAAAAGCTCAAGTTTCAGGCCAAGACTAAGACGAAGGGCAGCATCTGCATAAGGACTCGCCGTCCCCAACAAAACCAGGCAAAAAGGACATGGCCTAGGAGGTCCAGTTGGGACGTTAGAATAGGGGGAAACGTCAAACAAATGCGGCGTTCCTTCTGTTTCCCCATGGAACTGACCCCAACTAACAGCGCACACCCAGTTGTTTCTCCTCCCACAGACCCAGGCGCTACTACGCATGAGGAAGCCCCCGCCGCACTGGGAGCAGCTGGAGCCACTCAATTTGGCGCACCCGGCACAGGCAAAGCTACCCTCCGGGCAGCAGGTCTGCAAAGCGCAGTCGGGGGTCGAAGTGGCAACGAATTTCGCCCTCAGAACGCGACTCACTTTTGGTTGCTTTTCCCCTTTGCGGTTTACAGGATCCTCAGGGGGGGAACCAAAGGTCACAAACAGGTTGACTCTTGACACCAATTTGCCCCCCGCCCCCAAATTGAGATTATCCCAGAGGAAACTTGCAAGTTAGGTTCCTATCTCCAAGAGCAAAGCGGAAAACCACTCGTAGAGGTTCGCCGTTGTGGGATTGTTTTATGGGCAAACATGCATTTTGGAGACACACTCAGTCTTAATTGGGCAAGTTTGGACAAGTGCTTCAGGAGTTTGGTTCATCCAAGAGAAATGGCTGAATCAAACAGACCGTGGCCCACTTTAAAGACCCCTTTCGCGGAACCCCCATCTCCAAGTTTGGATCCAAATGAAAACCTTCAAGTTTGGCTCCACCGGAAAACCACTTCCAGGTCGCCTTTTCAAGGACCTCTCTCCGCCCGGTCCCAGGGAAGCGGCGGCCCTTGGTTGGCCTCTTCAATGGAGGGGACTCTCAATGCTCAATGGAATGCCCACAAGCATCCCTTCAAAACTGGAGAATGTGCAACCATCAAAAAAGATGAAAATCCCTTGAACAATAGGAGACGTACCCCGTTAGACGGGTTTCCGGAGCGACGGAGGGAGTTCCCATTATTGGATGGCCGTTTCAGTTTATGTCGTCATCCAATGGCTATCCAATGGTTATCTAATAGTTGTCCAACTGTTGTCTAAAGGCTGTCCAAAAAGGTTGCAAAGCAGTTGTCCAATGGCTGTCTAATGGAGATCGAATGGTTGTCGAATGGTTGGCCAATGGTTGTCGAATGGTCCTCAACTGGCTGTCCAATTGATGCCCAATGGTCGTCCAACGCTCCAATGAGTGTCTAAAGGTGGTTTTATGTTTATCTGGTTGTCTCATGTTTCAAATGATTGCCTGATGGTTGCCTCATGATTGTTTTGTGAACACCTATCTACTGGCTGTTTCATGGTTTCCAATGGTTGCGAAATGACCGTCTCATAGTTGTCTAGTGGTTGTCCAATGCGGCTCCCTCGTGCTTGATCTTCTAACAGTTGTCTGACGCTTGTGGTTGTCAACGTGTTCTTTGTAATGGTCGTCTAACGGCTGCTTCTTGGTTGCCCAATTGAGTCGCAATCAAAACCCGGTATTAGAATGGTCTACCCAGAACCATGTAAAGAATTAAGAAGGCGGCCGTTACTATTTATGGCTGGGAGTCTCCCTTACTAATTTTCATCTACCCGGGTTTTGACTGTGGCTCAATTGGTCGTGCAACTGTGGCATAATTGTTGTTTAGTTGTTCTACTGATCGTCTCGCGGCCCGCGTGGTTGTCTAAGTTTCATGGTTGTCTAACCTGTCAAATGTGTGTCTAATGGTTGTCTCACGGCCTACGTAGTTGTCTATTGATTAAATAACGGCTCGCCGAGTAGTTGTTTCATGGTTGTCTAACCTCTCTCAAATGCTTGTCTAATGGTTGGTCTCAGTTTTGTCCAATGGTTGCCTAATGGTTGTCTCAGGATTGTGTAGCGGTTTTGAAATGGTTGGAAACTGGTTGTCGAATGATCATCTAACAGCTGTCTACACTGCTGTCATGGATGAACGGCTTGGGCCTGAAGGTGTTGGTTGGGATGTTGCGTCGCAACTTAGACCTTCCCAAGCGCCAAGTCCCTAGTGGAGTTGATTTCGGACTGGGGGCGGCTTGCAATTTTGGGGGCTGCTGAGTCCCCAGGATTGAGCTGCCCTTTTGAGGGCTTTGGGGTTTGCGCGGCCTCCTGGTAGGTCCCCTGGGCCGAGTAGTCCCGCAACACGGTGCCAGCGCAGCTCAACTCCGACGTCGACTTGTCCGCCGCCGAATCCGAAGCCTTCGCCTTCGCCTCAAACATTGAGAGTGCAACCTTTCAGCAACCACGCCTTGATGAACGCGCACTTTCCGGCTACGAGTTGGTGCTTTCGGCTCTTGATTCGGATGTTCCAAAGGCAAAAAAAAGCCAAAGGAAAACCGGGCCCAAATGCACTTCAGCTTGGGGCGAGGAGATGAAGCAAGCGAAGCAACCACATCCAACCACAAAACCCTGGTACTCTGGATGCCCTAAATTTTGCAAGTAGATCAATGGCCTTGACTGACACAACTAGAGAACCAATCTGTCCACTAGGAGGCCTCCTTCTTGATTGCCGCGAATTGCAGGGCTTGTGTTGTTCCCCTACCTGCGAAAAATATAGCCCCGTGCACCCTCACTATCGGACTGTTCAAGGATCGCGGCTTGAGTGCCAAACTGATCGCGCATGGGTGTTTCCTAAAGCTCGTCGAATGCTTCTTGGCTGGTTTCAAGACGAAACGGCAAGGAAAAGATGCCCTTTGTGAGGTTGTTTCAAAGCAAAACCAAAGGAAAGGTTCTCTATTTGACACATACACGGAAATGCAGCCAGTTGCAGCACGCAAACATATTTTTGGCTTGGAGGTGTGCCGGTGTTTTTCTCATTTACCCTACAAGAGCCAGCGCTTCAAGTCCTCAAACATCCTCAAACCAATCATAGAAGTGGACCACCGAACAGTTTTCAAAGACTAAATCCTTCTGGCTTATCCGATAATTCACATGAAGCTCATCCATCTGGTGCCAATGGATTTGTAGCTATTCGTCCCAGTCCCACCCCCTTCCCGCGCCCCGCCCGTGGGCGCCTCGCCTCTTTGAAGCTTTGAAACTTGCGCGTCCCCGCCGCGCAGCCCTGGAACAGCGCGCTGCGGTTCGCGCTGGCGCCGCTCGGGGCGGCGAGACCGGAGCTCTCAACCTGCGACAAGGAGCGATTGGTTTTCGGACGATGACAAGATATATGCTTAGCGAAAGGGAAAAAACGAAAGGGAACTCGGGGATGACCCCACAATTGGGGGGGATTCTGTTGGGGAATGGTTGGGAGGTGTCGATTGCTCCCTTAGCAAGTTATTGGGTTAAAAGAATCGAAATGACGTAACTGAACGTTGTTTTTTTTTGAGTATAAAAATTTAATATATTTTATATATTTATTTATTATTAATATTGTATTAATTGTAAACCTATATGAAAATGCACGTAAAATTGATGAGCTCTTCAACTTCCGGGACCCTTGCGTCAAGGTCGGGATCTTTCTCCCCCAAGGGGGCAGTCTACACTGTCGGAACATGACACCACACCTTTTTTTGGGCAACATTGGCGTAGTCAGGCCTGCTGACCCGCTCGGGGTTGGTTTGTGGGGGATATCACAGAAACGGAATCCGTTTCCCACCGGTGCCAAAGTGCTGCAAACTCTAGGGCCCTGTATTTGCCCCTGTTCCGGAATGTTGAAAATTGGGTGGCCCGCAAGTCGTTAACGAAGATCCCTTAGACCTGTCCAAACGTGACCCATTTTTGGCCGAATGGGTCAACCCCTTAGGGGTGCAAAAAGGACTGCAGAAAAGGAAACGGCAAATCTGGAATGAGGGGGTGGACTCCCACTTTGGGTGTACAAACTCCAAATTCTCGAGCATACTGTGGGAGGGCAACATCCGTGCCAGGCACCGGTTGTGGATGAATACACCAAAACCTACCAACTGGTTTGCGGATTGTGTCCATCCACGGTATGATCCTCGCCGAAAAAAACACCACTCCTATGCTCCATAGCATTCCAACCGGCGCAGGGAATCCCCAGGTTCGTTTCCAAAGCCGCTGATCTGAAAGACTTCAGGATCCGGGCAACCACCCCCCAAACATCCGCGCCAAAACACTCCGATCCCAGGTTTGGTCTCTTGTGTCTGTTGTTAGCTCGGCACCCTCGGGGTTGGTTTGAAGGGAAACCACAACGGAAACCGAGCATTTTGGGCTCCAAAGCTGCCTTTTTAGAACCCATTTTGGTCTTCCCAAAGAATTTTAACAAGCATTCTTGGCAGGATCTCCTCCATTTTGACACATACCCATTGCCGTTCTCCCGAACTCAGGAGTGTGCTTTTTGGGGCGAAAGGTACGAGCTCTTTGGATTTTGCAGAAAGGTACAATCAACCAACGATGTCCAACAATCGAGGCCTTAAAAGCACACATATGCAAACTGACATGGGGGTGTGCCGTTTTTCAGAGCGTCCTCCGTGTCCCACACTTTGCGACAACACTCTGGGTGCCGAGAAGAAAAAATGAGCCACAACGCCCCTTCCAGACCATGAGCAGGCAAAGGCAGGCATCCTTCTGTTGGAACCGCCACGAGTGAAGGGAGCCCCACCCCCACTCCAACCACAAAGAACCCCGCAGTCAGACAATCAAACAGGTGGGCCACCATCAAATATGAGCCTTTTCTCACAATCGTGGACCACTTTGGATGTCCCTTCCGAACAACACCAATAATTAAGAGTCATGACGATAAACGTCATATTTTTGGAAATCAGTATTAGCTAGCCAGTTGCTTCTCAGTTTCATCCTAACAGCAGGGTACAACAACAACCAAAGACCCACACCCTCCGATACCCTTCTCTGCTCCTCCTTGATGTGTTCAATAACGCTCATCAGCTGGTCCAGGCCCGTCTTCCGTTGCAGCAGCGCCCGCGAGCATGTGGCCTGCAACTCATTCGCGCAGGAGTTGCGTTCGGCAACTCGTACTCTGCAGATTGACATAAAGCCCGAATAAAGTGGCAGCCCCCCCCGCCGTTCCATGTTAATTTTGCAAGGCCACACCAGAGGGCTGACCTCTTTTGAGCTCTCACGCGAGGTTGCCCTTCCGGTCACATGGTAACGTGTCTGAAGGGCATTGGAACTGGCCCGGTTGCTCAATGTCACAATGAGGACCGGCTGAACTTCAGGACCAAGGTCTGCCCACACGTTGACGAGCATTCACCAAGCATGGTACGACGACGACGATGACGACGATGACGACGACTGCGATGACGACAGCGACAACAACAGCAACAGCAACGGCAACAGCAGCACCAATACTAAAAGACCAGCACAGAAACAAGAACAACCAGAAGAACAACAAGAAGAAGAAGAAGAAGAAGAAGAAGAAGAAGAAGAACAACAACAACAACAACAACAACAACAACAACAACAACAACAACAACAACAACAACAACAACCACAACAACAACAACAACAACAACAACA